TTTTGTGTGCTGCAGGCTGCAGCTGTGAGTGGCGCACGGCGCGTGGATTTCAGCGCTCTTGGCGCTGTTACAAGGGGGAGGGGGACGCCGAAGATGATGATGAATTTCCATTTTTATGTTGGATCGTCTTCTTGGCAATCAATTATTGATTTCCTTTCCTTTCCTTTTTTTTTTTTTTTTTTTTTTCAAAACCCAGACGAAAGCGCAACGATGTGCTCCGCGGGGTAACTTGCATTGCCGCGAACAGTTACTCACACCCACCACTTCGTGCCACTACAGAACCCGTTGGTCTTCTGCAGCGGTCGGCCAACAAACTCTGCAGGGCCGCAACAACACCTCGAACGATGTCTTATGTCTTATACTTTATCTTTTGTCCATCATATTGTCTTTGTCACGCCATCTATGAACCATGTACAATTAGATAAGGAATATCCCAATGGAAGACGTCATTCTCAGGCATTCCATTTACACCTTCTGTCACCAATTGGCTTGGCGGTGGATCACGTGCGCAGCTTATGTTGAGTACTGCCCCACTTCATTAGTCCCAGACGGCAGCTGCGCCTCAATGTGGCGCGCGAGGCGGCGTTTACAAGCGGGAAACATGGTGGTGCCTGGAGATGGATTTGATCAATTCCGATTCCGGAGAAAGTAAAAGCTGGTATTCTTTTTTTGCATTCGAAAAGTTGAATCATGGACCAATAGGAGCAGAGTACAGTGTTCCATTGGCTTGGGTCGTGGTCTGATTGGACAGATCTTCGATTCGATGAACTATTGGGGCCGGAATTCTGGTACATCTTGTCCATCTTGGCTGAGATCTAGTGCTTGGACAAATGATCTTAGCTGGCGAGGATTAATCTGTAATGACGCCATGCTCCTTAGTGCGCGAACATTCAAATATGTACTGTTGCGTTGCAAAGTTCACTCGGCCTATTTTCTCGGGAAACATCCGGGTCTTGTTGGTCACCCGCGTGCGATAGATTTTAGTTTCATGTGCTATGATAAAGTTTTGATAGTTCTATGTGGCGTAATAGCTGAGATAAGAATAAGTCGTGTGTGTGCGTTAGGAAAAAAAAAAATAAACAACCCTAAATTTCCCCGTCGTGGTAAGGGAAAGCGACAGGGCACCATAAAGAACATTTATACAAGCCAAGCAGAACAGATATAAACCCTAAATTCCCCCCTGTCGTGGTAATGGAAGGCGACGAGGCATCATGAAAAACATTATACAGGCCAAATCATTAACAGATTATTTCACCTCATTCCATCTTCATCACCGCCGACTACGCCCAGGCCATCACGAGACCAGCCACAGCCGCCACGCCGCCCGCGACAAGCCCCGACGGAGCGACGCTAAACGCCTTGCTCTGAGGGTTCACGCCCGTTGCGCTCTTGCCGAGGTACCAGGAGCCGATATCCGTCAGCTTGCCGGCATTGTTGAGAAAGGGAGCGTTGGCGCCGACGCTCGAGTTCCTGGAGCGAAAGGCGCCAAAGTACGAGTAGCGGCCAATGTAGGACTCCTTGTCAAAGTAGTCGACGGTCTGGTTGAAGAACTGCTGGGTGGGGTTGAGGTCCTGGTGGGCAAAGGCGTACTCTGTGACCCAGATCTCGGCGTCGGGCCAAAGGGCCCTGCGCTCGCCAATGTGCGAGGCTAGGCCGCCAAAGTTGTCGTACCAGTGGACGGGCACCACGTCAAAGGTGCAGTTCTTGGTGCCGCCGCCGCTGCTCTTGCTGCTGACGAGCGCGGAGCAGTTACCGAGAAACTGCTTGAGCCAGACCAGGCCCGCAGGCGCGCCGGTGACGGCAGGCAGGCCGAGCTTGACATTCATGGCGGCGAGGGGCTCAAAGTTGGCGACCCAAGCTTGGGCGGCGATGTGCGGGTCGACGTTGCTGCCGCCCCAGGAGTTGGGGGCGTCGGGCTCGTTGAAGGCGAGGGCGTGGGTGATGTTGCGCCCCTGCTTGATGAGGCCCTTGACATCGGCGAGCCACGACGCGTCGCTAGGGTCGGCGCCGACCCCCCACATCATGGGCACAAACTCAAACTGGTCCTGCGCGACGTCGGCGTAGGCGGGCGACGGGATGCTGCCGTAGTTGTAGTACCAGGTGAGGTCGATGCCCGGCGGCCGCCAGAGCTTGTTGTCCTGTGGGTACGAGGGATTGGGCGTGAAGACGAGGCCGCGCTTGCCGCTGGCGGCGGAGGCGATGCCGGCGAGCGCGCAGAGGCTAAAGGCGAGGATCGACATGGTTTAGATCTGTCGGGATGTGATGTAGATAAGTGTCGATTGAGCGTCGTCGCTTCGATCGGCGGGGGGTGGGATGCCGATCGCAAATGAGCGCAGATCAAAGATGAGAAATTCGACGAGATGAAGGATGCGAAAGCGAGAGACGGGGATGGATACAAGCAATAGAGTCGCTAATTCTGCGCTCCCCTATACGGCGCTGCAGGTGAAAAGGAGGTCGGCCAAGCGGCGCAGCGCGATGTTCCTTGGGTTGCGCTTTGGGAGAAAGCTCGCTCGTAAACGGCCGTTTGTTCTGCGCAACGTAGTTGATAGGGCGACGAGAAGACTAATCAATGTACGGATGCAAAAAGCGAATGAATAAAGACAAGATATGCCGCTGCAGAAAAAAAAAAACGAGGGTCGATGAAAAAAAGACACAATTCAAGGAGTATTTCATGCAGAAGAACAGAAAAAGACAAAGCGCAATGCAAGGACTCCAGCTGAGGTGGAAGCGGCCCCCAACAAGGTTTTTGCTGGCGGTTTGACGAAATCTATTATTGGAGCGCAGCGCTTCAACGGGTGGCTACAATGGGCTTCGATAGTTCTTCAGTGAGACAACTGTGCCTTGATTAGTGGGGTTGCGCCTGCAACATCAGACGCTCAGGAGGATTGATTCGGATTTGGTTGACAAGTTGGACAGTATGGCATTGGGCTAGTATCTATCGAGTACGGATACTGTGTAAGCAATTTGTGTGTATGCAGAGAGGTGCTTCTGCGGTAGAACCTTGGCTGGTACCTGAAGAGGCTCTGTGAGACAGGCACACAGGCTGCCTTGACCTGAGACTGCGCATTGGCGTTCGACGACCACAGCATGACTTGACAATATACTGGAAGGATTCGGAATTCTACGACGTAGATTTATATATGCATGTTTCGTTGGTCCTTGCTTCCGGCCTTCCCCTGTCGTGCCAGTCCGGAATGCCGTCCGGGGCCGTTCCAGCATCGGCGGCAGCGGCTTGTCCTGTTCCAGCGAAACACGGATTTCTGCACAGGATTCATGGTACGGCCAGTCAATCGAATGGTCAACGGCCGCTGGCGCAACCCGCTCAAAGGCCGTTGACAGCTTTGTTATACCGCTACGCCAGGCCGGCCACCAGGGAAGACTAAATAAGGCGTCCGCCCCCACGAACCATCACTTGTGGAGTGAGGGGGTGACTAACTTATCGCCAGACATCCATGGAGATGACTCTATCAACAATTCTAGCTTTGAAAAAAATCACCAGAATCAAAGGAATTACTGATAGTTAGGGATTATGATGCACGCTCTCTGTCCGAAATTTCGTTTTGTAGAACGGTGCTGCTTGGACGCGGAGTCCGGAGCTTTTGCTTCAACAGGTAGGTACTGGGTACCTCGCTCTAGCTGGCTTGTGAAGGTCCGGAGTTGGGGAAAATAGTGGCCCCGGGGGGGTGGCCGGCGAATGTATATGTGCTGCCTGTCAAGCACATGGTAATTGAAAAGATGTTCAAGGAGATGCAAAGTAAATGAAGAAATGGTAGATGAATCTAGATATCAAATTTGTCATTTTCTGTAGCATGCAGACATTGATTAACTCTCTTCATCCCGCGCCATCGGAGTTTTGGCGCAAACCTCGGCTGGCCGCATGCTTGCTTAGTCAAGCACCCCGGACCACACTTGCAGACCACATTGGCCACAAGCTGCCATAGATTGCCTCGGCTACTCCACAGATCCGGGCTCGGCGTTTGCCATCTGCGCTCGCCTGACGTACATTTGTATCCGGCTCATCCCCTCTCAAAACCTCTCCCGCATTCATCTTCTTTGCACCTTTTCACCATCATATACCCTTTCCCTTTCACCTACATATACATATTTCACCATGGCTGTCGAGCGCATCGGTTCCATCATCAAGCACCTGGCCCCTGGCTCGGCCCTTAGCAGCCTGTGAGTATTATGCGGCATGCACATTTTGAGGGGAGCTATCACAAGCTAATCGTTTTGTCTCTTTTCACCGCGACAGCCAGGCCAAAAACGCCGACGATATTGTCATTACCGTCGCCATCCGCACACCCCTGACAAAGGCTCGCAAGGGAGGTTTCAAGGACAGCGGCATCGAGTACCTCGCCTACTGCCTGCTCAAGGAGCTCAAGACTCGCTCTGGCATCGACCCTGCTCTGGTTGAGGACTTTGCTTTTGGCAACGTACGTATCGCCTAATCTCCATGTGAAACCATGTGCTTACATACCTCGTCTCTCCAGGTCAACGACCCTCTTGCCGCCTCCAAGATCCGCGCCGCCGCGCTCGCCGCCGGCTTCCCCAACACGGCCGGTGCTTATGCCGTGAACCGCTTCTGCTCGTCGGGCCTCAAGGCCACGGCCGACATTGCCGATTCGATTCGATCCGGCGCCATCGACATCGGCGTCGCGGTCGGCGGCGAGAGCATGTCGGCCCCCGGCGCGCCTCCTTTCCCCTTCAACGAGGAGGTCATGGAGAATCAGGAGGTGCAGGACTCGCTCGAGCCCATGGGCTGGACCAGCGAGAACGTCGCTGCCGACTTCAACATTACCCGCCAGCAGATGGACGAGTACGCCGCCGAGTCGTTTCAGCGCGCCGAGCGCGCCCAAAAGGCCGGCTGGTTCGATGATGAGATTGTCCCCATCAAGGCCAAGGTCGAGGGCAAGGACGGTGAGATCACCGAGATCACCGTCACCAAGGACGAGGGCATCCGTCCCGGCACCACCAAGGAGAGCCTCGCCAAGGTCCGCGCTGCTTTCCCCCAGTGGGGTGAGACGACTACTGGTGGCAACGCCAGTCAGGTTACCGATGGAGGTATGTATTCTTGACTACAGATTTGTCGTAGTTTATTTCCCATTCTGGCACACTTGCTGATACTATTCTTTTTCAGCTGCCGCTATTCTGCTCATGAAGCGTTCCACCGCTATCAAGCTCGGCCAGCCCATTCTCGCCAAGTACGTCGGCTCGACCGTCGCCGGCCTTGCCCCCCGCATCATGGGTATCGGCCCCTCGGTCGCCATCCCCAAGCTGCTGGCCAAGTACAACATCACCCTCGCCGATGTCGACGTCATTGAGCTTAACGAGGCCTTTGCCTCGATGGCCGTCTACTGCCGCGACAAGCTCAACCTAGATTGGGCCAAGATGAACCCCCGCGGCGGCGCCATCGCCCTTGGCCACCCTCTCGGCGCCACCGGCGCCCGCCAGATCGTCACCGGTCTGAGCGAGCTACGCAGACAGGACAAGAAGGTCCTGCTCACCAGCATGTGCATCGGCTCCGGCCAGGGCATGGCTGCTCTGTTTATCCGCGAGTAAGTGGAGGACAGTTGTCTGGCGAGGTTGCAAAATGATTTACAGGGTTTTTTTATGTGTATGAATATCTGGCAAAATGCCTGGAACTACTAAATAGTTTTCATGTTTCAAAACAAAACAATTTCTTCTTCACGCGACGGATTGGCCTTTGTGACTTGTCGCGCATGTACCTAATGCGGGCGTGCTTGGCTCTGGTGCATGGCGTTTGCACGTGTGCTGAATATGCATGCAGTCGGGCGAACAGACTGCGCGCACAGCGATCACGCGGCGTATACAGCTGGTGCATTATAAACGCAGGCAGTTCGCCGAATCTGCCCATGAATCTCAGACAAGAATAATACGTTGCCCTTTTTTTTGTGCCGTACCTACTATTAAGCCACACAACACACAACCACAATACTGCGTGTCTCATGACCCCCCACAAGGCGCCTGGCTGCCGTCCAACGAAGCCGCCCAAAAAAACAATGACCAGTGCCAGTCCAGTGCCCACTATAAACCCTGGATCGCCCGCTGAGACACAGCCTCTCACGGGGCCTGGAGAATCAGCAATTAGCACTACGCCCCACTGTAAAGTATCAGGTTACAAGGGCGTCCTTGGTCTGTTATTGAGGGGGCCAGAGCGAACCTTGGGGTCAATTCTCTTCTCGTCAAGTTCATTTTCCTCCCTCCGGTCTCCCTTGACTTGCTCTGCTCATTCTTGTTCTTGTTCTGCCTGATGGATCAACCTTAGTCGAAGCAGGAGGGCATTCGCATCGAGCAGCGGACTCGGCCGTCGGGATAAGAAAAAAACAACTAGTTACCCGTCACACAGAAATCCCCGCGGGTCTGCTACGGGGTCCAAGAAACAAAAAAGGAAAAAAACAACAACATTTGACGAACGGCCAAATACCCGAAACCAAGTCACCATGGCTGGACGAAATCCAACGCGGCCTGGCAGCGGTAGCTCGTCTCCGCACCCTCATCAGCCTGCCCAGCCTAGTACCCTGCGGCAGAGCCACACGCCCGCGAGCCGCCCCGTCAGCTACGTCGGCATCGACGACGACGACGACGACGACGACAAATCCGCCGACGATGCTGACTACCAGGTGCCCGCCCCCTCTGACCGCCGCGTCGGCGACTCCGAGGACACCCCGTTGCTCATCACCGCGACCGAGACCAGCGCGCACCCCGGCGAGTGCGACCACGGCACCTTTAGCCCCCGCGCGTCGACTCCGATGGGCGCGCAGGAGCTCGAACGCCACATTGACCGCATGCAGGGCTCCGAGGACTGGAAGTCGTGGCTGAAGCAGCGCATCCGGACCAAGAAAATGGGCACGTCAAGCGAGCTCGCGCAGCAAGCGGGCGTTCGCGACAACCCAGTCATGTATGATGACAGAAGACGGTGAAGAGCAAGGCAGCAAGTTGCGGCTAACAACAGACCTTAGGTACCTGTCATATTACGTGCCGTGCTTGATTTGGATGCGGAAATACAAATTGTCCTATCTGCAAGGCGATGTTGTGGCGGCCATCACCATGGCGTCCTTTTACCTGCCCATGGCCCTCTCGCTCGCCGCCAACCTCGCACACGTGTCGCCCCTCAACGGCCTGTACTCGTTCGTCTTCAACCCCTTCATCTACGCGATCCTCGGCTCCTCGTCGCAGATGGTCGTAGGCCCCGAGGCGGCGGGCTCCCTGCTCGTCGGCTCCGTCGTCAAGTCCAGCGTCGACGCCGGCGGCCTCGAGGACAACGACCTCGTCCACACGCAAATTGCGGGCGTCGTCGCCGGCATAGCGGGCGCCATGGTCCTCATTGCCGGTCTGGCGCGCCTCGGCTTCCTCGACTCCGTCCTCAGCAGGCCCTTCCTGCGGGGCTTCATCAGCGCCATTGGCTTCGTCATCGCCGTCGACCAGCTGATTCCCGAGTTGGGTTTGGGCAGACTCGCAGACGATCTGGAGGTCAGCCACAGCAGCAGCGTGGAAAAGATTGCCTTTATCGTCGAGCACTGGGACGAGGTGCACCGTGCCACCTTTGCTGTTGCGGGAGTCAGTTTCTTAGTCATTATGTTTTTCCGGTCAGTTGCGCTCTTCTCTCAGTCATACAATCCGAAACCTTTCGAGTTAACAGGCATGCAGTGAAATGAAACGTCGCTTGGAACCCCGGTATCCCTCTGTCGTGTTTGTTCCGGACCGATTCGTCGTCGTTGTGGCATCTGCCATCTTGTGCTGGTACTACGAGTGGGACAAGAGCGGCGTCGAGATTCTCGGCGCCGTAAAGTCGGCCACCGGGAACCTCTTTGCCTTTCGTTGGCCGTTCAAACTCTCTCACATGCGTCACATACGCTCAGCCATGTCGACCTCGTTTCTCATTGCCCTGCTCGGCTTCTTTGAGTCGTCTGTTGCGGCCAAGAGTCTCGGCAACAGCAGCATCCCCGGCATGGAGCTTAGTGCCAATCGCGAAATGATTGCTCTGGGTGTAGCAAACGTTGTCGGCTCTTGCTTCATGAGCCTTCCTGCCTTTGGTGGCTACGGACGCAGCAAAGTCAACAAGACGACGGGCGGCAAGACGCCCATGAGCTCCATTGTGCTGAGCTTCATTTCCCTACTTTCCGTGCTTTTCCTCTTGCCATACTTTTACTTTTTGCCGAAACCCGTTCTGTGCTCCATGATTTCTGTCGTTGCTTGGTCGCTGATAGAAGAAGCACCGCACGACATTAAATTCTTCATCAGGATCCGCGGCTGGACTGAGCTAGGTCTCATGTCCATCATCTTCCTTTCCACCATTTTCTACTCGCTGACTCTCGGCATGGCGCTGGGCGTCGGCATCTCGCTGCTCATGGTCATCAAGCACAGTACGCGCCCTCGCATCCAAATTCTCGGCCGCATCCCCGGCACGCAGCATTTCGAAAACGCCGAGGCCGCGCCGCACAATCTTGAGTTCATCGAGGGGTGCCTCATTGTCAAGATACCCGAGCCGCTCACCTTTGCCAACACGGGCGAGCTCAAGTCGCGCCTACGCCGTCTCGAGCTCTACGGCACGCCCGCGGCACACCCGGCGCTGCCGCGCATCCGCAGCCACGACGCCAACCGCAACATCATATTTGACATTCACGGCGTCACGTCGATTGACGGCTCCGGCACGCAGGTCCTCGAGGAAATCGTGCGCAGCTACCGGGAGCGCGGCGTTCGCGTCTTCTTCTCGCGCATGCCCGGCGGCGCGAACCATCCCGTCTGGCACCTCATGGTCAGCAGCGGCATCGTGCGCCTCTGCGGGGAGGGCCACTTTGTCAAGAACGTGGAGGAGGCGCTGCTGATGACTGAGTACGAAGAAAGCATTGAGGATGCTAGAAGTAGCCTTGCTTGATTCCATGACGTGGACAGGCAGCATGTGACACGGCTGATTGATGATTCGCACTGAAATTCGGTTCTGCGTTTGTTTTTTCCCCAAAAAGCGATACAATAGATTTTGACATTGTCATGGAGAATGTGGATTTGACGGCTAGAGTAGATCTTGTTTGGCATTATAGTACAATTACGTGACCCGAGACTATATTTACAAATTCAACTTGAGATGCGTCTCTGCAATTACACTCGGTACTGACTGTGAGAGCATGTTATCTGTTACTCACATGGCTGCTTTCGAAATCGATGATATGTGAGCATAGATGACGTGGGCCAGAATCTTGCCTCTAAATCTGTCTCACATATCAAATTTTCCAGGAAAGAATACTGTTAAATCACTTGAATTTACGGATACTTTGATGGATTCTCAAACCGTAAGCAATGCCAGCTAAAAGTAGGGCAACTAACTACATGCTGAGGGGGGCAAGGTTTTCTGTTTCCTGACAAGTATTAACTCCCTTGCCTTAGTTTCTCTATCCGGACACAGATGTTGGCAGTGTTCTCTCATTTTAGCATTATAATTGCTTAAATGGTGTTTCCTAATAAATCTACTAATAAATCTACTAATAATAAGAGGTATTGTCAGAAAAGCCCCCCCAAGCCTTAACTTAGGGTGATCGCTTAGTGGCACCCACAGTGACATGCCACTAAGCTCAGGGTGCCACACGCGTGGATGCCCGTCAGGGATGGAAATTTCGAAGCCCCTCCAAAGGCGCGTTATCCCAACTTTTACATCATCAAGCACACCCAAAACAACTCACCGATTGCCATCTCGAGCGGACGACGATACTCACACATCGCCACAGCTAGGGATGCATCAACAATATCTGGCCCTTTCATAGACCTTGCGATGGATTCGGAGCCCACCCGACCGTCGGAGCTCGACGAGTCGCAGTCGTCCAAGCTGTCCAGCATCAATCCTAGCGACATGGACAGCGGCAGCGACAGCGACAGCTCCAACGCTGGCGTCTCTGAGGCGGCGCCCCAGGTTGAGTGGCTCGCCACCGGCCGTCAGCGTCGCTCCACGGCCGGCAACCGCATGAAGTCAATGCTCGCCAACGAGGAACCCGATTCGGATCTCGAGCTGCTCTTCGCCGAGGATGACGACGACCAGGGCTTCTCTGACGCTGGCGAGCACATCTCAGACGTGCAGATGGATTCTTCCTCCGATGACGACGATAACAACGACGACGACGACCTCCAGGGCGAAAAGGAGCTTGATCGACAGGCCAAGGAACGCCGCGCCGCGCAACGGAAGCGCAAAGCGCAGGAAGCAATCCCGGCCAAGTTTCGCAAAAAAGTACGCATCGACACGAGCAACTCCACGCCGCGATCGTCTGTCGCGCCCTCGACGCCGCTTACGAGCCAGCCCCGACCAAAGAAGAAGAAGAAGTCAGAGCGCGCATCGTGGCTACCCTCGGTCACCGATATGCCCACGCGCGCGTCGTCGCGGCAGACGACGCGGCTCTCCAAGGAGCAGCTGCACGCGCAAATGGAGGAGCGCGAGGCCAAGCGGCTGAAGCAGCTGGCGCAGATGCAGAAGAAGGCGGCGCGTCTCGAGGCCCTCAAGAAGCCGCCCATGACGCAGGAGGACCGGCTGCGCGAGGCCGCTCTCGTCGAGGAGCGCAACAGCAAGAGTCTCAACCGCTGGGAAGAAGCCGAGAAGCAGCGCGAGGAGGAGCGCAGGGCAAAGCTCGCCGCGCTGCACGAGCGCACGCTCAGCGGGCCGGTGATTACATTTTGGAGCGGCAAAGGTCGGTTCGGTGACGGTTGGCGCAGGGGTGAGGGTATCCACGTCGCGGTTGAGGAGAAGCCGAAAAAGGCGAAAAAGGAAAAGGTGGTCAAGGACAAAGGCAAGAAAAAGGACGATGCAAAGGATAGTGTTAAGGAAGAAAAGGTCGGAGAGACAAAAATTACGAGTTTGCAGGGTTCGGAAACGGCAAAGCCCCCATCTACAGGAACTGGTCAAGATGCGAACGCAGGTGAAACTGGCGAGTTGAACACTGACGTCAGCACAGAAGCACCTAAGCCAGGTGCAGCAGCAGAAGGCGTCTCCAAAGATACGCTCATGGAGGATGCATCGGACACACAAACGCAAGAGAATGCACCATCAACAGCACCAGCAGCCCCGGCTACCATCAGCCCTATAGAAACCAAAGCTGCTGATGATGCGACAAAAGACGCGGCCATAGACGTCTCGACGGCAACAACGAAGGGCGCAGAAAAGTCGATTGTCGGTGAGGCTGCAAAACAAGACGGCGCCACAGAACGGTCGTCTGTGGAACCGAAAACCTCGTCGGCATCACACTCTGCCGAAGCCGTCGAAGCACCTTCGAAAGAGCCTGACTCTAAAGCCACTACGCCATCAAAGCAGCCCACAGAGGCGGTATCTCCTTCGAAGGAGCCAGAAGCATCAGGGCCGGTTGCCGTGGAGGCTCAAGAGGGTGCCACTCCTTCTGGATCTGGGGACAAAGCGCCTCAGTCGCAACAAGCTTCCACAACGCAGCTCACGAATGGTCCTCGCGCCACCACAGAAACAGGTACTGTGCTGGTCATAGGCGGAGGGCAACCTCCCAAGCCGACTCCCCTGCAGCCGATTGAGAACGAGTCACTGCCTGTAAGCAAGGTAGTGAGCCAGATCCAGTCGGAGGCAGCCACGCCACAGCCAGAACAAATCCGCTCACCCCTGGACGGGCTCGCAACGACTCGTGATGCCATCATTTACCAAAATTTCGACTCGAATGCCATCAAAGACAAGGGTGTGCAAACGCAGGTCCTCTTTGGTCGCAAGATGAGCCGCTTGCCAAGTACGTATATATTCAGCGGGCAAACAAATTTCGACAGCATTGCTAATCAGAAACAGAACCTACTCCTGCGCCAATATGCCCCATTACTTGTAATACAGCCCGATATCGTGACCCACAGACCAATCTACACTTTTACAGCGCCGCTGCCTTCAAGGAGCTCCAGCGTGTACAATCGGGTGAATACCGCTGGAGCAGGCTGCTCGGTGCATGGGTCGGTAGCGGCACATGTGCAGCTCGAGGGGTCCCTGAGAGGTTTCTCAACCCTTCCAGGTGCCCGACGCTGGAAGAAGTAGAGCGCATCCAACGCAAAAAGGAGGAGAAGGAGAAGCTCAAAATACAGCAGGCAGAGGACGAAAAGAAGGCCAGTGAGAAGAAGACGACTGCGTCTGATAAGCGAATGAGTGGCGACAGCGCTCCTGCACCGCCTAGTGGTGATGCGACAGCTGCGCAAGAAGAATCGTCTGTTGATGTAAAGATGGAGGATGCTGGCGGCACCAAGGTGGAAGGGCCGTCCGTGGCTGCATAAGATGCATGCTACTGTGTACCAATACAAAAAAAACCAGAAGGGGGAGGAGGCTGGAGAGGACTGGGCAAAACAGAGCCGGCACAGACCTTGGATGTAACATGATATCAGCTGGAGAAGATGTCTAGACGATGGGCAAGGCGTTTTCGTGAGCGTGTGCAAAAACACACGACTTTTCTTTTTCGGGTTCAACTTGTAATTTTAATCGGCAGTGGGGATTGGAGTCATACCATCTTGGCGGCGCAAATACTTTTGTGTTTTTTTTGTACACTAGCTAGGCCTGGAAGGCGGCAAGGTAGTGATAGTGAGGTAGAGAAAGAACGAAACAATACGAGGCAACGGATCTTGTCAAATGCGATGCCGCGGGCGAAGCTGCCTCTCCAAGGAGCCCTTTGACAATGCAAGGACGAAGGAAGAAGGCGTTGCCCTTTTGCCTTTTGAGAGCATCTTTCCCCGCAAGAACGTGATTCTGCGAGGTTCAACAGCTCTGGTCAAGTTTAACGTGATCGATTCTCGTTCGTATATAAACTTGTCTGTCCCGTTATCTCGCCTTGTTCGCGGCTTCAAGAAGGGAGGGTTGTCTTTCGCCTCTGGGCCTCACCCACCCGGCATATCTTTTTGCGTGGAATCGCAGCTCACAGAATACATCTCTGCTGCACTTGCATCGCCATGACGCATACGCTCGCCGTCGAGGGACTCCCGAGATCAGTTCAATCCCCCGTGATTTGCATACATCTTCATCACTGTTACACTCGAGGATCATCTGCAGCTCGACAGGCTGATGTGTATACTCTTTTTTCGCCATCGACATGAACCTCTCGTCCTTTTGATCCCAACGATGTTATATCAGCGCCTTCTATGCTATTGACAGGGGTTGAAGCGTTGTAATGGAGTTGATTATAGGTTACGCTCTGCCTGGATACCCCGGGGCTTTACTGCGTAATTTGTGTCTAGGCCTACGGGGTACAGCATAAACGGCCAGACAGAAACATACATCTCGGATCCGAAGATGGGGGGTTTACGTCTGCGCAGAGACTCCGCCGCGTACCATGTATCGTGGTCGGGTGCTAAGCACAGTCATTGTTTTCCGCACTGCAATGGGAATCCAGACGGCTGTGTGTGAGCCGACGCAGGAGATTCATGGAAAGAAATCGAATATGCTTTCCATGTCCGCGTCAAAGCAACTACCTATATATCAAGGTGAAAAAAAAAAACGGTCTCTGGTGCGAGTCTTGCAATAGTCGCGGCGTCTTGATAGCGCGGACGGGTCGCAAAATGATGCACGTGCTCGAAAGCTCGTACAGTCGTGCTGCGTGATTCTTCAAGTTGTTACAAAATACCGAAGAGTATTTCGCGTTGGACGAGGAGTATTCACGTTGGACTCGGGCGCTAGCGAAAGCCGAAATGGGCGCACAGGGCAAGTTCGTGAGCAGTAACTGTAGTTTGCTCAGCTTGGCATTTCGTGTATGGCGGGGGGGGGGGGGGGGGGCCAGGACTGAGTACACATGGGACGAGAGAGCAGCACATGGCGGGAAGGATACGGGAAGTGTGGTGTACAGACACATGGAGAGGGCCAGATGATTATTCTGGTCGAATGAATACGGGGGGCGGACGTGTTGATATCTGCTGTGCTATTTACACTCAGTAATTCCTCAGTTTCGGGTCAGCCGACTGGATTCCTCGGCCAAAATAGATGAGGGGGCGGAGGTTTAGCAGCGCTGTGTTATCAATAAATCTTCATAGTGGTTGTTTTGGCAGTTGTTTTTGGTGGCTGAAGGGCCTTTTCCTGGTCAGAGAGCGCTTGCCAATCATCTTTAACTGCGACAATGACGACACAGGGCTGACTTGGCCGCACTGCGTCTCAATTACTCCGTAATCCGTATTGATATGAATTTCTGCATAAAGGAACAGGGAGTGAGGGGTTTGCAGCCCGCCCACTTCGAGTACTTTTGGGTACAGGGGAATGAAACCTGGGGGAGCTGAGAAATTACCAGCGAGCAAAGAGCAGCTCGGCAGCCAATGGCTAGGCGCCGAGCAGGGACTGAGTGATGCAAGATGACAAGCATTTTGCAAGCAATCAGGCATGACGCATGGCGTTGCAACCGCTTGACTATTGGTCGTTGGTCCGCTCCTGTGCAGCGAGGAGAGAGGAGAGGGCGGTTGACGAGGATTTCTCCATGCAGCGGGCCAGTCGGATGCAGAGGCAAGGAGGGCCGGCTGGCTGGGCATGACTGGTCCAGCTGGTATTTGGTTGCAGTATGCATATTTTACTGTAATAATAGCACGCTTTTCATAGCGAGCCAGTCGGGTGCAAAGGCAAAAGCCGTCTCCAACTGGCATTTGTACGCACAGTTGCGCTAAGCCACACTCGGAGTCTGATTGTCCACATTAGCCACCATTACTCCTCACTAGCCCTGGCCCGCGCCACTTTTTTGTCAAGCCTTTCTCAAACTGTCTTGCCCAATCCACGATGAAGATCTCGACAATTGCGCTACATACCTAGTAGTACTTTGATCGCAACCCTCAGTCCTTCTTGGCTCGCCATGCCCGCCTCCGTCCCCCCCCTGACGCTTTATCTGCCCCTCAGTTCAGCTACCCATGGCCAGCGCATCCATGCATTTCCGCCAATCGTCGCCATCGAGGATGCCATCCATCTCCAGTGCGCCCGGGATGCGGGATTGAGGCTCGCCCGTGATGCTCCTGGCTGGGCTTCGATGCAACAAAAGTTCATCAATTACCATCATCACTCCATCATGCATCGAAAGCAGTACAACCTTGATATACCATTTTACAATCAGGCAAAAAAAAGAGACCGAATATACCCCCGAATACTAATTTTTCTGGCAGTTGTACCACGTCCGCGACCCTGTGCAAATCCGTTCGTCTGTGACAACGGCCCAAGCTCTTAGTCCACCTTTTAAGATTACCACAAGGCCCTTCGCTACCACGGCGAATCCGTCCTAGAAAGCTAGAAAGTGCCCATCGTCACCATTAATTACCAGTACATGCGTACAGACCTTGGAGCGCTCAACCGTCCCATCTTTGGTCCCGCCTCTTGGACAGGAGTTGATTATGCCACATCTTGCATGACGCCGTCATCAACGTACCTTTCCGTCTATTGTTCTACAGTTTTTCTCTCTCTACAACTAGCAGCTTTTACCTTTGGCGCATTCAGACAATTAGACGACCTCCGTATACAGACGACTGGCGTCGCCGATTCGCCGCAACGAGGACCCATGTTTCAAGTGCCAAATGTCACTCAGCTGAGCCGCAGCTGAGAGAGTCTGTCAGTTCGTCTTTAAGCCAGGCCACCCCGGTTACTTTCTTGCACTTCTATTCAGACTATCGTTATTCTCATCTCGCTACGTCGCCAATCGATTCGCCCCCCGTCCTCCTCATCATTGTATTGTCGGTCGCTAGCCACAGACTTATAACCGTGCTCGCTCGTCCCGTCAGCCCGGCAACTCCAATCGTACGACGGAGGGGCCGCTTCTTCGTCCAGTTTCTTTACAAAAGACTAAATACTGGTCTTTTGCTGTTTTTCTTGTGCTTTTTTACTCTTTTATTTCCCTGACCATATACCAATCGCCCGCCACAAAGTCGAAACGGTCATTCTAATTCCTTATATTAAGGCCTCGAGCCCCGGCTTTACCAGGGTGCCCTCAACCCACGATTCCGAAACACGTTTCGCGCCCCGGGTTGTTCGGGAGAGCCTTTGAATAGCGCGCATTGCCATTTTGGCTTTGCATTATTGTTTGGAAAGAAAAATCTCCGCGCTTGGAATATCTTGACCATTTTCATCTCTTTTCAACATCTTCTGCTTTGCATTCGCATGCAAGCGAGTGCGTCTGTCCCCATCGCCGTTATGGATCCCTCAAGAACTCTAGTTGCATTCCATTTGTAAGTTGTTAGCTGCCCCCCTTGGGCGCGGATATTGTCTCGCATTCGTTCTTTGTTCCTATTGGAGTCGAACCAATTGAGTCACGCGGAATCGCCCATTGTCTTGCGTCGCCGCAGAATGCGCAATTGGGCAAGCTCCATTCAATGCCCGTCTACCTATTAGGGCCCTTCATTGACGAGGCGACGACCGATCCCCGTCCTCTGAAGATGCGCCGCCCGAGACAACTGCAAGCCAGGCCGGGCATTATTCCGCGTTCTTCCACCGCCTCGCAATCAAGATTTATGCAGCTTGCCTTGATCGATGAACAGGTTCCACCGTCGCCCGTCTTGACTGGACGCGGTGTGCAGATCGATTGCTGGTTATTGATTGGGCCAATGGACAATTCATTGGCATCAAGCAACGCATGTCTGGCTGCTCAAGTGCGCACTGACAGGATGAGCTGTTTGCCTCGGCGACTTCGCACGTCGCCGGCTGCAAGCCTTACAAGCCACCAGCTGACCGCAACATCGTGGGGCCAGTATTTCAGTCTCCCTCGTTGGAATGCACTTTACTTCATGAGTCCCATCCAGGAGGACACTTTATTAAATTCGCTTTTCACGGCATTTGGATTTTACTGACAATGGCATTTCAACTTATAGTGAGACGGATCCATCGGTCACGACTGTCCACTTGATTGGTTCGTGGGACGGATTTTCCTCGTCGTATGCCATGGATCGCGACGCCCGGCGCGGTCGCGGTCATTGGCGAGGCTGTCACTCCCTCCAAGACCGTGTTTGCTGCGGCGCCGGCAGTCGATATAAGATGCACACTGGCCTTGCCATGGGCCACACCTACTATTATTATGTATGTTGCTCGTGGTTTGCTCCCCTCACCAACACCACCGCCTCCACCGTCCTGGCCGCCAGCTAGGACCACTGCGCAGACTTTCCTATGCCCATTGCTTCTTTGGTACTCGTTTTAGATGCTGACGAGGCTGTCCGCCGGCCTATGTAGTACGAAGTAAACGGTTCGACGGAAACGTGCAATTCTGCGTTGCCTTTTACCACGTCCTGCCCATACCTTCCTGGCCAAAAGGTCAACACTCTATATATACCACGGGAGGGCACCAGTCGCACTCGTCGTGCCTCACTTACATCCTTATCCGAACAAGACTTTCGAACCATGGATCCTCGCTCCAAGTTTGTCACGCCGCAGCCCTCTGCTCCTACCTTTGCCGAGATGTCTAAGCGCCGCACGGGTACCGCTGCTCCCGCCCTCTCCACGAATTTTGTGCTTTCCAAAGACCGTCCGGAGTCGGCTACCTCCCCCAAATCTCCTTGGAGACGCTTCTTTCACAGATCGCTCATTTGCCGTTCATTTGAAAACCGTGACCGCTCAAACAATGGCGCCGACCATGGCAGCCTCATATCCGCCACCGCGAACTGCGATCCTAGACCTCTGTCGCCTTCAGAGGGTGCCAATACACGCGACATCTCCCCCGCATCGCTACGCCGACCAGTTGTCGAGAAGGCAGACACATTCATGCGTCCAGACTCACGTGGTAGCATATCCCCCTCATCCCGCGCTCGCACACCACCCCTCGACGTACTGGATCAGGTTGATGAAGAAGATGACGACAACTTTGTTGGAGCGTTGGATGATTTCTTGTCGTACGCCGTAGAAGAGCCTTTATTCACAACCCGGCTCTCTCCACCACCGTTCAGAAGGGATCCGGCTACGAGCTCTTCTGCTCAGACTGTGGTGCCATCACCTCGTAGCCTCTCGATATCATCCACACGGCACCAAGCACTTGCAAAATTATCGATGCCGGAGAGCCCGAGTCGTTCATCTCGGGATACTTTGCACTCTGGATGCCCTTCATCCACTCTGTCAAGTGCTACGAACTCGCCCGCCTCTCCGACGCTTAAAGATTTTCCCTTGTCAAGCGACATTTCGTCGTTTGATGGCGAGTCCCAGGATGACGACGACAGTGAGCGGTTCTCATGCCCTGGCCGTGAAGATGTGCATGTCGGCCATGAAGCAGCACGCGCAAACAAGCATGTCAAGGGTCCATCGACGGCGTCTTTTTCGAGATATCGACTGCCGCAGCTGACGTTTTCAACGGATAAGCTACCTCTTGCCGAGGATAAATTCTCGACAAGCCCTCGCTTCACAACCATGACATCGCCGCTGCTGCTACCTGGCTCCGGTCAGCCTGTGAGCAGCAACGGCGACTCCAACCTACTGGGCTCGAGCCTGGACACGGGTCTCGACGACTTTGCCCGCGAGCTTAGCTGGCTGACCGATTCGATCACGAGTCGGCGCTAGGACCTCATAATAATGCCCTAACGTTTACTTGTGCTGCTTTTTTGCATTATTTTTTTCTTGCATGCTCTTACCGGGCATGCTCAGCGTCCATTGCTTTTCTCGCTACATTTTTTCACATGATTGATACCTATTTGCTGCTGTTTTCATCTTGCTATCGAGTTACATTGCTTAATCTTTATTATACGCTACACACTATATATAGTCTTGTCTAGCACCTCGATGGTGACTGGGACGTACATAGAATTAACGCTGGGAGATATGTTGCTACTACTGCTGCCTATTGCCTTGTCGTGACTGTGAAAATCGCTGCTTTGTAATGAAAGGTGACGCTGTACTGCCATGGTAATGGCAGCTCGTCTATTCCGTCCATGCCCAATTTGAGTCAAGTAATGCAAGGGCCTTTTTTTTTTTTTTTTACAAATTGATGTTGATTCGACATTATGTATATTGTCAAGAAGACGAAATTCCTATTCAGACAGACCCAACGACATCGCCATGCTATAAAAAAAAACGAGAGTGTAATGGTTAAAAAGAATGCCGTGTCTGGATGAACAAAGTCCGGACACGAAAGAAGAAGAGGGAAGAAAAATATGATACAGGAAGAGAAGATGCAAGTAGCATGATACCTCAAAATGAGGGCTAGTTTCTGTGCATGAAGGGCGGGGACAGGACCTGTGCCGAGGCAGGCCAAGTCTCGCATGATTATAGTATTATGAGGTGTTTGCTGCAGCCAATTCAGTCCAGTAAAGGAAGAAAGAAAGCGAAGGAGGCCCGGAGATGAAATTGGGATGCAGCAGCAAAAAAAGGGGCAAAAAAAAAAACCCCCCTGGGAAAAAGGGGACAAAAAACACCGCAGACCGAACCTGACCGAACCTCATGATCCAAAATAAAATAAGTAGATGGAAACGAAAGCCAATTCATAAAACAAGAAGAAGCCTCAATCAGCATGCTACTGGTAGTGACACGCGAGAGCAAGGGATAAACAATACGAGGCAAAACAAAAAGCGCGATTCGTCGTCAAGTATGAGCAGTTCCTGTGGGCTGTTTATTTCGGAACCGCCGGCGCCGTCTTTTCAGCGGCGCGCTTCTTATCGACGAGACGATTGGCGCGGGGGCCCTTGTATTTTGTGCTGAGGATGCCGTCCCAAAAGGTGAAGAAGGGCTGGGAAAAGTTGGTCTTGATGCCCCAGGTCTGGTGGTGAATGTCGTGGTAGGCGGCATTGTTGTTGGTGATGAGCTGGAGGGGGTCCCAGGGAAAGGCGTAGCCGCAGTGGTCGTCAATGGTCTTCATGGTGGAAAAGGTGAAGAAGCAGGTGCCCTGGAGGGTGGTCATGCCGGTAATTTTGAAACCGATGCCGGCGCCGAGAGTGTCGAGGAGAAAGCCCTCAAAGGGGTGGTTGTAGAGGGCCCCGTAGGCGTAGGGGACGTAGAGACGGTGATGACGCGAGTGGAAAGTTGTGTAGAGCCAGCGGTTCATGTGCATCAGGCGATGCAAAAAGTACTGCCAGGTGTCGAGGATGAAGACGGCGACGAAGAACTGCAGGGCTGGGACGAGGACATGGTAGATGAGGCGGGCGACGGCCATTTCCCAGGCGGCAAAGACAGGCACGTTGGCGTCGGTCTTGAGGAAGGGATAGTAGCCGCCAGCGACGGCACCAGCGAGCAAGGGGTGAGCGGCGGCCACGTTCTTAGAGATGGCGGTGGCGTTGAGGCCAACAAGGGCGAGCATGCCCGGGACGGCGCGCTGGGCGAGACGCACGCGAGTGGCCCAAACGGCAATGTCATAGCCGTCCTTGCCGACGTACTCGGGAGGATCGGCGAGCTGGAGGAGGGCGCCGGTGACGACCTGGATGAGCTGCTGGATGACGACGTCGCGGGCGACCTCGTAGCGTGAAGCGTGGTTGCGGCGGGCAATCTCGTCGGGGGTGTGCAGGCGGTACTGGGGAAAAAGGTCGAGCGTGTCAATGGTGTGGAAGAAGAGGCTCATGGCCCAGTAGACGACGACGGGCGCGACGAGCGACAGCCAAAAGTCGGGGCACCACGACCAGAGGTCGGCTCGGGGCTGGAGGTCGTAGGCGGGCAGCGGCGGGAGCGCCGTGTCGAAGAGGGTCGCGTTGCTGGCCATGACGGAGGCGGCGGACGCGGAGAGGCTGGCCGAGGTGGCGTTGACCATTGCAAGGCGAGGTGGTTTCTTTTGTAGTTGTTTGAATCGGGAAGGGCCGAGGATGAGAATGGTCGGGGGGATCAAAGGGATCACGGTCGCGTAGTTATGAATCGACTCGCCGCAAGCTTCTTTTGCTGCGATGCGAGGACGAGGATAGAGCAATGTGGCGCGCGGCGCGTTTGTCCCGCGATGAAGATATCACCATGCAAACAAAAAGAGTTGAGATGACGTGGTGGCGAAAAAGGGAAAAAAAAAGAAAAAGGAGCGTGGTTCGGAAGCAATGGATCAAGTTCGTGCGCGCGGTCGCTGCGGGGAGGGGAGGGAGAGAAGGGTAGAAATCGTCAATCGTTGTGCAACCCGGAAAATGCAAGACGTCTTGAATGTCGAAGATGCAACAAGTCGGGGGTAAAAAAGGAGCGTCACAGAGATTTTGATGGAAATTGAAGAGGAGGGAAAGAAGAAGCGTCGCAGCCGGGGGGTGGATCGCTGAATTAAAGATGCCCTCGGGCTTCCTGCCAATTATTTACTGGTGACCAACTAAATACTACGGGCGCAACCGCGTTTAGTAGTAAATATCATTACAAAGTACTGCTTTTAGCCTAGCATCCCAGTTTGGTCTGTCTTTAAAGGGCTTTTTTAATTCATTCTTCTTTATTTCATTTTATTTTTTAACTGGATCTATTTCCTTGTTCGGAACGGAAGCTCGGAGATGCCAAGCGGGCAAGTCGACGCCTTTTTCTTTTCTTCCAAAAAGTGGCCCAGCTTTTGCGCCTTTTCCCCTGACTAATAACTGAACCAGTAGCGAAATCTTGCGACGGTGGCGAGGTTGTTCTGTTTATTCTACAGCATGTCGATTTCAACATGCATCAGCGAGTCGAAGAAGTCTACAGATGTAATTAATTACAACGTTGTAACGGCATCACGGGAGGGGCGGAGTACATGGCCAGAGACATGCGGGTAAACGGATGACGTGGTTGCCCTCAACAGCCAAGCCCAAGTCCCCATCAAAAGGTGCATTTGGCTTTGATTAGCTTTGCCTCTTTACCTCTTTCTAGTACTCTTTCTCTCCCAGCCTTTGCAACTCGGTGCTCACTTGCTTCTCAGCTTGCGGCCCCGGAAATGACACCACTTCGGCAACCCAACTTCCAGCCCACCCCCATGTGTCTGTCGCCCTCTTTCATGGCGTGTCTGGCATGTCGCTCCTCCCCCCCTAGCAAGGGACGCGCGAACGCGGATTCGAATCTGATAACTCAGTACCTGCGTCTGCCGCCTCCCGGCCCCTAACTAGAGCTCGCCCATATGGAAAACGGAGTGGTAGCAGTCCGATCCGAGCCATAGTCCGAGGTGGGGTGATTCTACGCGTAAAGCAGCAGAGCAAGTCACCAGTCAGGGGCTTTGATGCGGCCATCACCTGGGGGTCGAATCGAAACAAATCATCGACAGCTCTCTTTGCGCAGTCTTGGTCTCATCTGAATCATGTACGCAGCGCATACCGTCCGAAGCGCCTGACAAAAAACCCACCACAGCCAAAAAATAGCCCACGACAGCCAAGTACATGACAATGTACTCGCTCAAACTAACAATATAGTCTTCAAAACCAAGCTCTCAGATGTAATTGGAGAGACCTAATCAGCACGCCTTTCTCTCTTCTTCACGCCCCAGTCGCGGCTTCGATCTCACCATCCACGCTCGTCGCAAACTTGCAAGTAGAGCTGTTGCCACTCGTCGTCGCCGTCTTATTTTTTACAACCTGCGAGCATTTCCAAATCCCTCTACACCGACTTTGTCGCTTTTGGTGAGCTTCAGTTGAACGATGATTATGAAAAGCCACAAAATATCATTGTTTCCTTTCAGAGCAGCCACACGAGATTGCTGATGGTCTATTGTCACAAGAGTTGCCATGCACTTCGCCCTCATCAACAAGAGCCCAAACAACATCCGGATGACCATTCTCGGCGGCTAAGACCCCCTATGGCTTCTCTATATATATAGGCACAACCCAGTTGCTAAGAGCCTCCATGGCTTTCCTTGTGGAGTTGATATGTAACTTACCAGACTCGACAAGTAATTTGTGTTGCCTGCTGTTCCCCTTTCTGAGAACCAATGAAAGCACTGAATATCCCCCCACGCTTTGTGCATTCACGTCCACTCCAGGAGTCTGAAGAAGCAGCTCGAACATGTCTAATGAAGCTGTGTCCACGGCTGTCATGAGTGGCGTAAAGCCGTTGTAGTCTCGACAATTTACATCTGCAGCACCGAGCAGAAGCCGCACTACTTTCGTGTGTTTATCCTCAATAGCCACGTGGAGCGCCGTCTGACCGTCATCATCTTGGTTGTCAACATCTATGCCAGGGGTTTGGAGTAGTACTTGCACTACTTCTGCGTGCCCGTTTTCAGCAGCTCGCCAGATTGCTGTGCACCCATCATCGTCTCTGTGATTCACATCGACGCAATGACTATTAACAAGAATCTGTACTGCCTGCAGCTTTCCTACGCTGGCGGCAAGTGACAAGGGTGTTCTTTGACGTGAATCCAAGACATCCATCGATATTTGCCCCTCGTGTGCTCGCTTAACCATGGCTAGCAGTTGTGCAATCAATTGGCGTTCGGCTGCCAGATGTTGCAAGCTGATCCACTGGTATTCCCGTATCTGGTGGGATCAAGGAGGCCAAGCAGAGTAATCCAAAGCATCCTCTGCGCGGGAACCACTTGCCTCAGATCTCTCGACATGTGTCGTCCACCATTGTCTCGCATACTCCAAAAGAGAAATGTCCAGCATGTAAAGGAACGCTTGCTTTCGGGAAAGCCCGAATGGTGGTCGGCGGGACCTATCCAGATAGCGGGATGAAGGACCATGTCGGACTATTGCGGGTCAGAAGGGATCTGGGCGGCTATCGGTGCATGCGAAGAGAGTTGAAGGTGATCCACCCTGAACGAGATACTTGCCTGCGATAAGTTCTTCTCTGTCGACACGCCCAGAGGAGCTGAAACGTTGGACCATACGAAAACAGAGAATGCATGTTCTCGCAAGCCTGTAATGGCCACTCTTCTGCTCATCGGTAGCCACTATTGTGCTTCGGTTCTCTGACATGGTATTAGATCTGAGAAGAGCAAGGCCTCGATCGAGGAAGAATTCTTTGACGGCTTGGTGTATGAATGAAACCCGCCCCGCAAAACCCTCGGCAAGCCCGCAGCTGAGCACAACGATGCGTCTCTCCATATCTTCGTCATCGCCAATATATGCGTCATCATCGAAGTAATCATCAAGCGACTTTTCGGGGTCGTCAACACCGGGTCTCTCGACATCCATGACAATGGCCCATCGTAGTTCCCGTACTGTCATGACGTCTTGAGCAAAGCATATCCATTGCATCAGTAACAGAGATTCTGCAGGCTCATCTGCCTTGCTGGTCAGTATTGATTCGAATAGCTCTTCCAATTCCTTGGGCATTTGCTTAATGGCTTTATAAATCTGCCGGGAGGTCCGCGCACTCCCCTTAAGCCTGAGAGCCTCGTCTACAGCAAGACGTGCCCACAAGAAGATTCCATTCGCCCCTTCGATAATTGCAACTGCTATCCCGTCTTGCAAAAGGCAAGGATATGGCAAAATACCGGACAGTACAAAGGTCTCGATATCAGGCTTGTTGCGTTCGTCAATCGCTAGTTCAAAGGCACCAGTTATTCTCGGAATTGGGAAGCGGCGGCAAGTAAAGCATACGTGCAACTTCCCGTTACTAGCAGAACTCTGGCCAATGAGAGCCGCAAACTCTTCAATCAAGCCATTTGCGGTCCTTGAGCCGCCTTCGTCCAGCGCATCCACGAATAGCCATACTTCATGCGACTTGGATATGGCCGCTGCGAGATGCTCTGCCAAGTCTTGCTCACGCCAATACCAGTCTGTGCCAACTCTGCCCTGGCTAAGTTGACTTTTGTGAAACTTGTCGACAACTTCATGCAAAATATCGGGAACTTGCTGAAGAAGTTGATGAAGGATTGACCTGTAAAATCCAAGTCGTGTCCGCTCCAGCTCTGTTCCACGGTCGTGAAAAAAAAAAGTCGCAAGTATAGCCCCTTTTGCGTGATGACGCCGAATATGCTGAATCATGTGCTTGATCAAGTCGACTTGCCAGTCCCTGGATTTCCCATGATCCAAAGCAGCCCGTGGCTGACCGAAACCCAGCGGGTGTAAGTCGGCTCCTGAAACACCCAAGTACATGTCCCTTCGACGGCTTTTGCAACCTCTGTGGACCGTTTGTTCATGTCTGCAAACCACAGAGCTCTCAAGCACTCTCCTGTCCGTTCATCCAGCGTCACATTTGCTAGGCACGCAAGAATCAGTTGCAAGGTCGCGCGTAGTCCGAGGCGAGAAACCTGACATCTCGTTTCTCATACCACGGTACGTACCTCTAGTCAAGATAGTATGCTGTGCCATGTCTCGAAGCACAGACCGGACTTTGTCGTACTCACTATCATTTTGACCGAACTTGACTATATCGGAATGCGAACGTTGAATATCACAAACGCAAAGGTCGTCAGACTCTGACTGAGGGCAATATCTCGCAGATACAGTGCTGACAGCCAGTACTTTGGGGCCAATCATACGCCACTTTCCCGTGTGATCCTAAACCATATGAGCTGTACGAATCATTATTCTCTCGGGCCGAACCAACGCACCTGAGCTGCTGTACTCGAACGTTCTGTTTCAGAGAAGCAAAAGAAACGGCAATCGCCCAGTGAGTTCTGCTTCTTGTCGCACAGTTTTTTGAACTCGTCCCTCAATGTTTGCAGCGCAGGCGAGTTCTCGCAGCTCAGAGAACTAATCAAGGGCCCGTTGGAACTCGGGTCTGCCATTTCTGTCAAAGCCTCTATCCGCATTCCGCTGTGGGGTACAGCAAAGAAGATGATTGCACGGGTTGCACGAAGCAGCCTTCCTAGTGTATCATGTTGCGTCTCTGACGCCGCTATACAAACGAGAGCCTGGCAAAGTCGTCAATGAACTGAAATGGCTTCGTTTGTATACGACTTTGGTGGGGGGGGGGGGGGGGGGTGAGGAAAGGCGCATCATGAGAGTTGTGAACGTACTTGTTTGATGAGTATGCCTCCGAGGCTATGCCCGATGAACATGGTGGGCGTCGTTGGAGTCTCGGCCGCCAGAGGACGTAAACTGTGTAGGAGAGATGCGGATATGTCAGGAAACCCTTGTATAGTTGTGGAATGGGCGACATCTGAGCGGTGGCCATAAATAATCACCCGGGCCACTGGTCTCTTAGTGACTTTGTCTAAAATCTCGTATGGGAGTGAGTCCCGCAGCCACATGTGACTGCCACCTCGTTCTTTGAACGAGCCAAACGCATGGCCACCGAGGCCAGAGACGGCAATGATGCTGGGGGTTGGTAAGTCAGTCTCGACAGCCTTTTGTATTTCGGTCCTGGCCTCCGAAATCGACATACTCTAGCTTGTGATCATCTTGAGGTGGTGCAAAGAGGGTCGTCATTCCGACAAAGTCCGTGTCCCATGTAAGGCCACCTATTGTAGAGGTTCCGCTTGGATTTGCATTTCCAACTTGGTCACCGAGAATTGCTGTTGCTTGGCCACTCCCACCGTCAATACGCGGGGCAAGGGACTGAATGGAAACGTCCTGAAAGTAATTGCCCATGAAAGACCTGAGTTTTTCCTTGTCCCAGCCATTTGGGACTCCTGTGATGCGAAAGGTTTTTGTAGAGCTCCCGGAGGCTCCTTCCGACGATGTAGTGATGGGTGTTGCCATGCTCGTGACTCGGAGGGATGCTTGTTGGTAGCCCTTGATAGAGCCAACCCGCCTGGAAGAGAAAAAGAAGCTTTGGGGACAAGGCTGAGAGACTTCTGCTCTCTCGTTCTCGGCCTGCGTAGATGCCCAACGCGGGGTTTCTGTGGCTGTTGGTATATTGATCATGTGGCTGGCTTACATTATGCATTGCGACGTCTCATGCATGCATGCAAGGTGGCAGGCTATTCATTTAGCGCTGTATGGCGCTGCGTTGTCGATCAGTCATTAACAGATGCCCATTTATTAAGAAATCGGTGAAGGGAGGGACTTTGGGGGACTGATGCAGAGCACTGGCTAATAACGCCCCCTTTGGACGCGTATGGCTGCAGGTTTTCTCTTCTCGTTCTGACCAGAGCAGCATTCTCCTACTAGACCAACTGGCAAATGGCGGGGCAATCAAGGCGATGTAATAAACTTCTCGCCGGAAAAGCAAACCTGGCTTACATGGCTGATATCGCGAAACTGGCGATGTACTGTACAGGGTACTCTGTGATGGTGACTTGAGCGAGCGAGCGGTCGCTGCGCGTGACATTGCATTTTTAAAAGCTGTATGTTGTCACACTAGCCATGATATCGCATATATTTCTATATTACCATGTTTCTCACTATCACGGGCTCAGCGTACTCGATATGTCGATCGAGTCCATCAGATGCGTGCGACGTCATGTTGGTAGTACGTTGTACAGCATATCCTTTCTTACTGACCCGCGTAGAAGATTTGGCGTGAACTGTTTGTCGCAAAGGTCTACTACGTCTTATAGACCGATTTGGACCTTGGAGCTTTCGGGGAATGATAACTTCTACTTTGACATTTCTTCTGTTTCTTTCTGTCCACGATTTCTCTACTCTGTAAACTATTCTTCAGCCTCCCATGTTTCTGTTGCCTGTCCCATGTAATACAATGGCTACCCAAAAGTGACGCGAAAAAAAAAGATAAACTACCTTAGAGGGATAAAAATAACTTTAAAGAGCTATAACCAATTAAAGATAAGAAATAGTTAAAAATTATTTAAAAAATATAAATCTATAATCTTTAAAATATATATAATTATATAAATAAAATATTATAAGTAATTAAATATAAAAAGAAAAATAAAGTTATAAAACTAGTAATATTTTTTTAAAATAAAGTACTTTAATACTTTAAAAGAATATATTTAGAAATATAATAAGCTTAAAATTATATATTAAATATTTCTAAATAGTAAAAGAGTTAAACTTTATAATATATATTTTTAAAAAAATATAATATTTTTATTTAGTTAATAATCTTAGTTTATAAAAATAAGCTCCTTTTTTTTTAGTTTTATTAAGATTTTAAAAATAATTAAAAATAATTAAGTAAAATAGTTATTTAGTTTAAATAAGTTATATTATATTGTTCTAATAATAAATTTATTTATTATATTTAATAAATAATTTTTAGTTATATAATATAATAATAATATTTAATATTAGAAGTAGGTTAGTTTTAAACTTTTAGCGTCACTTTTAGGAGGGCACTGTATGCATGTCCACACTGGAGCGCTAGAAATAGCACGGCGGTTTCCATAGGGTTGACCTGCCAAGCTTTTTGGGTATTTGCTTCATATTCGCACTTTAACTTATCACTTGACTATTAGCTCAACATGATAGCCCCCACCTACCGTTTTCCTACAGCTGCGCAGGTGATGCGTCTGTATTCACAGTGCATTGGTCTCGCAGTGCCGACCCAACCAGCCATGCTCGCCTCTGCGCTCTACTCGCCCATACGCCACGAGCAATACGGGCAAACAGACTTGTTCCAGCTAGCCGGGCTTCTAGCCTCAAAAGTCATTTTAAACCACCCGTATCAGGACGGAAACAAGAGAACGGCGCTTTACGCGGCAGACATGTTTCTCAAGATGAATGGGTACCGACTAGAGACGAAACCGATGGGCACAGAGGACGCGCAGCGGTATCAGGAAATTGCTCTGGCTCAGGTCTCGGCTGCTACTACGCAGTGGTCGTCGGAGGATTTAGGGGCGTATTTTGCAAAAATAGCTACGCCCTTGGCAAATGCAGACGATGCCAGCGACACCCTTGACAGCACTGAAGAGCACTGAGCTGGTCTGTATTTCACGTGCCTTATGCGCCTCCGTCTCTGGGTATGCTCGTGAGTGCACACGGTCGCTTGTACTTTCAAGTATCCTGCACCCACAGCCGGAGCGTCGCAGGGCTGATACTGGTCTCGTTCTGCCGCGTCAGGCTGGAGTTATAGTCAAGCGTGGGTACGAAGTCGCATCTTGAAGTCATTCGTGCTGCTAAAGAGAAATATCCCGTGCAAAAGGCACACGAAAGTACTGCGGCTTCTGCTTGGTTCGGCAGATGTAAATCGTCAAGACTGAGGCGCTATTCGCAAAACATTGAGCGAGACTCGTGAGAGAATTGCAACGAGACCATTTCCGGATCCGCGCCGTCCGGCTATACAACGCTGAACCTCATACAAAAGCTCACGTGGCCCTCAAAAATGATAATGGTCTGCCCAAGGTCTTCAATGTAGATCTTGATGGGTTTTGTAATGGGTGTGCCGTCCGTGTCGAGATTGAGGTAGGGGCCTTGACGTAACAGAGGTAGCGAGAGTCCAGATACACCTGCTACGCACCCACCTACAGAGACATATTTATTAAAGCAACATTTTTTTTTTCAATTATTATACAACTATAGAAGACCTGGAACAAACCTTGCCGTACGCTTGTTCCACTGTATCCACTCTTTGCCAAAGAGTTCCTTCAGCATGGCTTCCTCTTGGGAGACGCGCGTGTAGATTTGCAAGACGGTCAGCAGCCCAAGTCCAGCATAGGCCGTCGGCAGCCAGGCATCGATGAGCGGCCCATACTTTGTCGGGATCAGGCATGCCGCAGCGCCATCTGGACGGAAAAAGGTGGCCGCGGCAGCAACTGCCACCAGAAAGATGCCCGTGTAGCTGGGGTGCTGGATGTATCTGTAGATGCCGTCCGTGACCAGCCCGCTCGGCTTGGCCAGGCCAAAGGTAAAGTTGCGACCGAGGCCGTGAAAGGCGCCCAGCCGCAGGGGCGCGCCGACTAGGATGGCCAGGAACGAGGCAATCGTGGTCGGGCTCCAGGCAAACAGCTCCCGGTTGAGGCGGGCTGTGGTGCCGACGGGGCAGATGCGGGCAGCCGTCGCGGGCGGGCTCACGACGAGCGCGGCATAGTAGAGGTTGAGGGCCGAGACGGCAATAATGGACATGTAGATGAAGGCATTGTTGCCAGCGTAAAAGGCGATGCTGTCGCTCTTCCAGGCGCTCGCTTTGGGCGTGTGGTTGGGGGGGACGATGATGCGGATCGAGAGGATGCCGCACACGACAACGGCAGCGAAGAAGGAGACGCTGTCAAAAGAGTAGACAATTTTCTCCATTGCCAGAAAAGAATTCCAAAGTATTACTTTTAAGTTGGGGTCTGAATTGTAGATGAAGTGCTATGGGAGGAGCAGACGGACTGGCTGGCGATGCCATTACAGTTTTATTTGGGTAGCGAGTTGCCTCGGCTTCGGCATTCGAGCTCTCGGTTTGCCGGCGGGACAGCGTAGCTAGGTCCAAAACGTGAGTCTATGTTTCCAGAGAAAAATAATTAAACTGCATTCATAAACGACGACTACTCTACCAATATTACAAGCATATTTGCTCACACGAAGCGGGAGGCGGGAGCAAGAGCCACTGCAAACCGTGTTGGCTGTATAGATGCCCGGGTCTATATCCCCCGCTCCGCTTCATCCGACGGCAACAGCTAGCCCGACGGCAAGAGCTAGCATGGTTTTGGAAGAGACAATATAATTAAAAGTGATCATTGCATATATTTATTTTTTTTTGAGCGCGATACAAGTAGTCCCTCCATACACTTCGTCTTACCCATCCAAGCTTTACCAACCATCGACAACCCGAACCTTCATCTGCAAGCCCCCTTCAGGCTTCGCAACGACACTAGGGGGAATAATTACGTTTCGTTCATCCATCAGCGCCGGATCATCAAGCTCAAAGGAGAAGCGTCCCACCCACGCGGCCAATAAACATGCCATTTCGGATCTTGCAAAGGTATTACCAATGCATTTATGTGGTCCCTGCAGAAAGGTCATGAAGGCATAGTTGTTGGACAAACCGGCGCTGGCTGTGTAAGTGTGACCAGTCCCATCGTCGTGCGACTTTAGCCATCGCTCTGGTTTGAAGTCATGGGCATCCGGACCCCAGAGTAGCGGGTCGGTATTGATTGCCCAGATGGGAATAATCACCATTGTGTCGCGTGGTATGAACTGGCCTTGAACTGTCGTATTACAGTTGTTGACTCGGATCGTTGCAGGAACGGGGCCGTAGAGGCGAAGAACTTCGTCGCAGACGGCATTGAGATACGGCAGGCTGTCAATGTCGGCGCTAGATATACCCGAATCTGCATTCTGTGGCGATGGAAGTGCAGCACGAATCTCGTTTCTCAATCTTTCCTGCGCGGCAGGGAATCTGCAGAGCATATATACCGCCCAAATCAGCGCCGAGGCAGTAGTCTCGTGGCCGGCAGACAGAAAGGTCAGCGCCTGATCGACTAGTTCTTGGTCGGAGAACAAGCCTGCCCGCAATGCGACACTGAGAATGTCAATTCCCAAGTCTTCTTTGTTGGCCATCTTTGTCTTCTTGGCGCGAATGAGCTCGGTAGCGACCTCTCGGAGACTATCTGCCGCCGTAGTAACGTCCCTGATGCGCGATAAAGGAAGTCTCTTCATCATCGCATCAGGAAGCACAGCCCAGAGGATAATAAGCAAAATGTCTTCCGATGAGGGATTCAGCTTGTAATATGTATTGGCCAGCGGACTTTGGGCGTTTTGAATGGCACCAAAGTCGATACCGCTTGCCGCGAGACCAATGATATCCAAACCGCTGCGGACAGCCCAAGCAGATATGTCCATGCGCATGTAGTCCGCGGAGCCATAGTTCTCTCGGCACTCTTCGGTCATTGCAGTGACGACTTCCTGAGACTTGCTCCAGAAGAGAGGATAAAGGTCCTTGATATGACGAAAAGAGAATGCAGGATTCATGTTTCGCCTTTGCTTCTTGTGAATCTCTCCTTCGGTAGTGAGCAATGCCCATCCGATAATATGCGAGAGAAAGCTGCGCGCAAAGTCTGGCTTCTCGTATTGCATGCTGTTTTTGACAAGCACCTCGGAAAGAGCCTGAGGTGAGCGAATGAGGAGAGCCTCTTGATTGCCTGGGAACAGTATGCGCATCAAGTCATCAGAGTCTGTCTCTGAGAACCTTGAGAGAAGATGATAAAATTAGTCTCTTGTTTTGTATGATGGTGTTTTTTGAAAGATGACAAACCATTTCCTTGCCATTGGTCCTGGACCATACTTTTGAATCTCTATGCCAAATCCAAGCAAAGGCTTGCCTCCCTTGGGAGAGTACAGATGGCGAAGCGGCGAGACGTAAAAAGGATAGATAAAAATGGCATATATAAAGAAAAGGGCCAACTGAGCGGCAAACAGCAGCTGAAAGATGCCAACGTAGACCAACAATGGCGAAAGGCCGCCTATGTTTGGTCGTAAGTGGAAAACCCTGACCAACGCACAGTCGAGCAGAGAGTTGAGAAAAATAAAGCGCAACGGTATCTTGCGTAGACTTGTCATACTGAAAGCGATGCAATGATAATTTCTTGATTGATGCGGTGCTGTGATGGGGGACGGGGGGGTTCCTCAAGCAGAAATGTTCCAGCCAAAATCCGTCAACTTATAAGATCAGGAGCTGGGTAAATATATACAACCGTGCACCAGCCTGCTGACATTAATTAATTCATTCAAAAGTCAACAAGATTCGAGAGACTTTCTGCTCTATTAGGCTCAGTAATAATTTGTTGGGGGCCTTGTTCGTACCTTCAAACCATGAGATCAGACCTTGAAACGGCCAATCTCCACCGGCAGTATCGTTTGTGCTCCGTCTCCGTCTCGCCTGGATGCTATCACATGTAACACGAATCTCAATGCCAGGTGAGATTTTGCTTTTAAACTTCCCCAGATGCGGGGTGACTGACTATAAATTCATTTTCACATGTGATTGACGAAAGATACTCTTTGCACTGGCTCCGTAACCTGTCTCTCAACAAGTATACCCCAGCCTTGGAGATATGCTCCGGCTACTACGTTACTACAAAGGCTTTCCCGCAATTGAGCAGTGCGTAATTGTATTCAGTTTTACATGTGATTGGCTTACCTGTGCTTAGTAAAACAGATTCTCTGCATGGTCCTCCGCTTTTGCAACCTGTTCTTTAAAAGTATGCCCCAACCGAGTGATACGCTCCGGCTACTCCGTAGGCTTTCGACAAATTCAACGCCCAGAATCCATTCTATTAAGGCCTCATACTTGTCACTTGCAAAGAAAATCCTTCATCTTCTACGCAGGACGGAACCATGGAGAAAGTCGATTTTGACCTGGCCATCATCGGCGCTGGTGTTGCTGGCATCAATGCAGCCTATCGCTTCCAGTCCGAGGGCCCCAAAGGCATGACCTACGCCATCTTGGAAAGTCGCAATGCCATTGGTGGCACATGGGACTTGTTCCAGTATCCTGGCATCCGGTCAGACTCGGACATTTTCACTTTTGGCTTCGAATGGAACCCCTGGCAAAAGCAAGAGACGCTCGCCATGGGCCCGGAGATTAAGCAATACATGGAACGCTCCGCCAAAGACAATGGCATCGACGAGCATATCCGGTTCAGACACAAAGTCACAGCTGCTAACTGGAGCCCAAGGAAGAAGTGCTGGGAGTTGACAGTGGTAGTCAACGGTGACGCTGAGAGCCCCGTCTTTTACACGACACGGTTTATATACCTTGGCACCGGCTACTACGATTACGAAGAACCATTACAGACGACAATAACAGGTATAGAAAAATTTCAGGGCAAAGTCATTCACCCCCAATTTTGGCCCAGCGACTACGACTACAATCGCAAGGAGATGGTTGTGATTGGATCCGGTGCTACGGCTATCACCATTGTCCCTACCGTCTCTGACAAAGTCAAGCATGTCACGATGCTGCAGCGCAGCCCGACATATGTGATGCCCTTGCCAAATCGTGGTCTGCTCGTCGTTTTCCTCTTCAAGCTCTTCCCCCGCCGCATGGCACACTGGCTCAATCGCTGGGTCTGGATCATCCAAGTCTACGCGCTGATTCAGCTGTGCAGTGTTGCACCTAGTCTTGTCAAAAGATATGTGCGCTATGAAAACGAGAAACATCTGCCGCCCCGCGTCAGCTGGGATCCTCACTTTAACCCTCGGTACAAGCCTTGGGAGCAACGCATGTGCGCTTCCATGGACGGCGATTTGTTTGCCGCCTTGAGAAGCGGAAAAGCTAGTGTCGTGACGGACACCATTGACACCGTGACTGAACGCAGCATCAAGCTCACCTCTGGTCAGGAGCTGCACCCAGACGTTATTGTCACAGCGACGGGGCTACGCCTACTTTTCGGCGGCGGCATCACCTTTACCAATGACGGAGAGGAAGTCACAGTGGCGGACCGGTTCCTGTGGAGAGCGGGCATGCTGCAAGACACGCCCAACTTATTCTTCACCGTCGGATTTGAAAACGCGTCGTGGACTTTAGGATGCGACTGCGCAGTCTATGTCATGATTCGTGTCATCAAACAGATTGAAGAAGCCAACGGCACATTTGCGTATCCGTACATGGAAAAGGAGCGCGCCGAAGCAATGTCTCTGCATCCTCACTTTACGCTTCAGGCGACCTATCTCAAAGGTGCGTATGAAAAGATGCCAAAGGGCGGAACGGGCGTATGGGCTCCAAGGGACAACTATATGCGTGGGCTTTGGCAGGCAAAGTATGGTGACGTCAAGACAGATTTGGTCATAAAATGAGCAAACCAAGTGTTATAAGAATTGTATTTAGTTAATAATATAGCCGTCAGCCGTCCATCCTCGTCAACAATGCGGGCATCACCAAGCCCTTGACCATCATGGAAATGCCAATGGAGGTGAGTACAAAAAGTGTTTTTCAGGTCAACTGCTTTGCGCACTGGACGACGGGTGCAGGAGTTTCTGCCGCACATGATGTGGCAGATTGCATTGCGGCGAAAATCTTTGGCAGGACCTGCTGGGGGAAGTGAATGTGCCGTCACATATGGGCTACATTTACTGGGTTCCGTGGTTGGCCTCACTTGATCCAAATCTTTGCTCGTGATTCAATGGGCAAAGCAGCAGCTAGTATTAAACAAGATTTAAATCTGAGACGTGTTTTTTTTTTTTTTATATCATCTCTTTGTTCACCTTTTGCAAAGTTTGCCTACGGACCAGAGGCTTTATCGCTTCCCCAGACGGTACTCGGCAATGGACGCGGGGCTTGTCTCTTTCCCAGGTAGTGTCTACTCGGCCAACTACTTTGCCCACTCAGGCCTGTGGGCAAATCTAAGGGGGGTTCCTCGTATTTTGCTCTTTTGTCGGGATCTGCGCCAGCATCGTGTGTGTGCAAATTCCACGTTCCCCGGATATTTGCCCGAGAGCCGAGGGTCCCAGAAACGCGGGGTCGGCCAGGCATGCATCGCGGTTCCGCGGACCGGTTGTGCCATGCAAGCGCTCCGTTGCCGCTCTGCCGGCGTGATTGTCGCCCATACTAGGCACCCCTTAGCGGGCACCGACTTGCACAATACAACATCCTTACCTCTGCCCAACAGTGATGATGAGAGTTAGACTGCGGGGTAAGGCTGGAACTGTGGCTGCATTAACCGCCAATCTGACCGAATCTAGTATAGCGATCCCATCAAGACAAATACAGAATTTAGGGACTTATCACAGTAGGTATTAAAAAGTAACGGTAAGAAAAAAAGATATACTACCCTAAAGTAAGAAAAGCTAGCTAAAAGTAACTATAACTAAGTATAGTTTATAAAAAAGAACTAAAAATATATTAGAGAGCTTTAGCTTATTTATAATAATTAAATAAATAAATTAGAATTTTTTATTAAACATAATATTTTATTTAAAAAAAGACTTAGTTAAAGATGTTAAAAATAAATATCTTAATGTATTTTTAATATATTTTGTTAGTTAATCTAAGAGTATGATTTTACCCTAAAAAGTATATATTTAGGTGTAAAATCCGCTTTTACTGTCACTTTTTGATACCCACTGTATCAAGGCTAATTCTTATCTGACTAGTTAGGATGTCAAGCCTTCCCAAATGGTTAATGTTTACTCTTATTTGGCACGTGAAAGCGAAACAATTCTGGTGTGCGCCAATGGAGGCATCAAGATGACCTATTGCGTAGCGTCGGGGAAAGAATCAAGACGATGCTGTGTCAGCTTGCGTGGTGCTGCAGAGTGCTGGGCTGCCTGTCGTCCAGCCCGCCTCCTCGGAGCACAGCATTGTCAATGGTGCCCGGCCACCTCGCTCGCGAGGCCCGGCCCGGCTTGCGGCCCCTTCATTCCTCCGCTCGCGCACCCGTCCGATCAAAACGCCTTCCACCTCGCCCTCTCCCAGCATCGCCTTGACGTTTTGCTCCTCGCCGTTTCGTACCCCCGCCCAGCGGCGCCGCGTCCCACGTACGGCTGGTTGACGGGGTCCCAAAACGCCCGGGCCTAAACCTGCGCGTACATGTCGCTCCCAGAAAAGGGGTCCCCCGGGGTTGACTGCGTTGACGGTGACGCAACCCCGCCAGCTCGCGGCTCCGGCTGCGCGCGTTCATGGCCTCGAGCGCCGCCTTGGGAGCCCGCGTACACGGACTGGCCCTCTGTAGCCCAATCGACGACGACACGCTCGACACGTTGACGATGCGGCCCGACCAGTCGCGCGGCAGATAAGGGCTCCGAGCCTCACTTCTTCTGCATAAATAACAAGAAGAGATCATTGCACCACTGTCCAAAAGTTCGGTTTCGGTGAGTTGGCACACGTATTAGTAGTGCCAATTCTGGCAGCTAGAGCTTCAAAATAAACTTCCAGGGCAGTATGCAAGCGCGACCAAAAGTGCCGCCTTTCTCATAATTCAATCTTGATTCCATCTTATAGAGCAATTTAGGTTTTATCCCTAGTACTGATATTCTCTACCAATCCACTGCTCACTTGGTATATCATCTTTTCGAGATTCCATGACACATGTACGTTAAATTCATCTAGTCGTTTTCATATATGTCGTCTTCCTCACTCATGTCTTCATACTCGTCTGTTTCCTCCCGCCTCGGTATAGCAACAAGTTGTGATTGCCATTGAAACAACGAAATCCGTTTTGAAAACACTCAACACACAACTGCATTCCGCCAGCGCAGACCTTGCAGTGACGGTACACGCTCGAGTACATGATTTCTCGAAGACATATGTCGCACCAAGACAACGCGTCATCTACCACGAGGGGATTCTTTGTGTTCCGGACATGTTCTTCATCGGGTAGTTGGTACGACACAAGGACATTCACCAGTTGAATGTTTGTTTCCTTCGCCCACCACATCGCGGATCGGCCCTGGTAATCAGTTGCGTTTTTATCCAGCCTCCCTTCTGCGAGAAGTAACTGAACAGCATCGACGTGTCCTTTTTTTATGGCAGCCATCAATGGTGTAGAATTGTAGAGGTCTCTGGTATTTTCTTCCGCGCCATTGTCCAGTAAGAGCCTGATCATGTCCTGCCGACCTGTACTAGAAGCAACTAAGAAAAGGGGTGTGCGACCAAAATAATCCTTTGTGTTTCTCTCAGCTCCATGTAATAAAAGAATTTCCACAATATGTAGATGGCCGAAGTTTGATGCAACAGACAGGGCTGTTTGCCCGCGTGAGTTTACTGCTTCCAAGTTGGCCTCCTTCTGAAGCAGCAGTTGAACAATTTCAGCGTGGCCTTCTCTTGAGGAGGCCAGAAGAGCACCGCCGTGCATTCCTGCTTGAATATTGACATTCGCATTGTTATCCAACAGGCATTGGACTACTTCACGGTGCCCTTTCGCAGACGCAGCCTCCAGAGCACTGCCGTACCGCCCACCCTCTGCGTTGACCTTGGCACCTCTCGCCACTAGATAGTTAACCATGCTGTGGTGTCCACGCCTTGCTGCAGCTTGTAAAGCGTCACCGTAAAAGCCGCCTTGAATATTAACGTCAGCACCTTCCTGTAACAGATATTCCACCATTTCATGGTGTCCTTTAGCAGATGCTCTCTGTAGACAACTGCCATAGAAGCTTCCCTGTACGTTGACATTTGCGCCGTTTTGTACCAGATAACGAACCATTGTGAGGTTTCCCATACCCACTGCGCATTGAATGGCACAATTATTGTTTCCTCGAGTAAGTGCATTGATGTCGGCACCCCTATCTAACAGGAGTTGAACTGCTGCTTCATTCCCGGTCCGTGTCGCGGAATAGATGGGAGAAGAGCTAAATGCGCCTTTGTTTGGGTCTGCGCCAGCGTTCAGCAACTTTTTCATTATATTTATATGCCCCTCCTGTGACGCAGTTTCGAGAACATAAGAAGGACGGCAAAATGCATTGGCATTGGCACCGAAGCCAAGCAAGATGTCCACAATTCCTTCAAACCCCCCGTAGCAGGCTTTGTCAAGTGCCCCGTCTAAAGAAATTTTGCGTTGGTTGATTCCTTCAGCGGCATGTTCAAGTACGAGCTGAACCATCTTTGCATGACCACCTTCCACAGTAGCTGCAAGTTCAGATTCAAATGTCCTGTGCGACCACATCAACGTGGCGCCGTGAGCAAGCAACATCTGAAATATGGATTCGTTCCCCCCTCTTGCTGCACCCATGAGAACACTACCAATGTAATTATCCTGGAAGTTTACATCGGCACCATGATCAAGCAATTTTTGGACCATGTCCTCTTGTCCATGATGCGACGCAGAGCGAAGAGCTGACCCCAAACCGCTGCGAGCTGTTTCGTCCTCGGCGGCTTTGTCGAGCAAGAGCTGCAGAATATCATTCTGTTTATGCGTGACGGCCGCATCGAAAGTATTGAAATCGATCTTTGCACCGTTATTGAGAAGTGCCTGAACTACTTTGGTATGTCCCGCCCTTGTCGCAATGGAGAGTGTGGAGGATCTCCTGCCGTAAGATGCATTTGCATCGGCTTTGTTTTGGAGTAACAATGATACTATTGCTATGCTCCCAAGCTCCACTGCATGCGCGAGAGGGCCAACTCCGCCGCGTCCTCGATGATTCACATTCGCGCGATGGTCGATCAGTAACTCTACCATTGCGATATCATTGTTCGATATGGCAACGCTCAGTGGAGTTTTAGCGCGTCTATATATATTCGCATTTGCTCCGCGGGAGAGCAGCGCTGTCGCGATTGCCAAATGTTTTCGCTCTACAGCCGCCATCAGAGCACAACCGTAATACCCTTGTATTTGATCAATGTCTGAATCAAAGCCAAGCGCTAGGATAAGCTTCACAGAATTAAGTAAGCCGCTGAAAGATGCGTAGTAGAGGGGCGTGACTGTGTCGCTGCTGTTGTCCTTGTAATAGTAGTCTGTGCTAGAGATTTGATAACCTATGCTGAATGCTTCGTGAGCTGCAGCTGAGTAGTAATTTTTGACAAGCTCAACCACTTCGTCACTGCATGATTCCACCGTGAATGCGAATTTTGACCAGTATTTAGCTGCGTACTTGGCAAAGGGGTATTGCTCCAACAGCTGCCGTCGTAGAGTCGGCCCTCTCAAAGTCATCAAGTACGAGACGCAGATTTCAGTAAGAGTTTTGGCCGCAGTAACCTCTTCAAAATACCCTGCTACGTCTTTTTCGAGTTTATCCGACTTGAAATACTCCTCAACGGAAAGATGCGCAAGTTGTAGTTCAATGACGTGTTTCTTCGCCCGCTGGTCATACGCTTCAACCAGAACAGCGAAACCAGGACAGTAGCAAACGATCATTTTGGGATCTTCCAGCCGATATCTCGGCTCGAATCGGGGGGTATCGGTCAATCGTACGGTAACTGCGTCAACCGCCTCATCGATTCGAAGTGGCCGTTCAGAGTAAGTCAAGAATTGTAGAATTCGAATGGCGTGATGTTTGTAGGCTGGATTGATTCTACCCATCATTTGGGCATAAGTCGCATCCAATGTTTCTGGTAGATTCTTCAACTTGTCCTCCACATCCCCAGGGCTAAGGCACATTTCTAACGTGTCAAACTGACAGGCTACCCATCGGAACCTAGCTGAATTAGAAAATCAGTCGAGCAAATCGAGTGAGAATTTGCAACACATACATTCCTTTGGCACCTTGAATAAGTGTATCCCGCATTAGCTTCTGTAATATAGGCTTGTTTTGCCACAACTTCATCCTCGCGACTCTTCTATGGACATAGGTAGTAATGTCGTCGCTCACTAGGCCAGGCTGTAGTAAGATTTTGTTGCAGTTGTGCCACGTATCGATGGATTCTTGTATGTCTGGCTCGGGCCGGCTCGTGAACATAATATGAACATTTGAGCAAGCGCATTGTAGATGCTCAATCCATGATAAGAGACCGTTGGCTTTTTCTTTACTGCGGTTGCTGCACTCGTCAAGTGCATCAAGAACAATCCAGACTTGACTGCACAGCTTGATCATCGACTGAAAGACCTCATTTAATATGTAATAATCGGGGTCTTTGTTGGGGACTTTTTTTTCGAAGAGCTTGTCCAAGGGTGCGCGAGCGTCGTCCTTTTTGTCGTACAGCTGGTCAATAAGAGAGCAGAGCGCATTTTCTGTGAATTGCTTCTTCACATCGGTGAAGTCAAAGTAGAAAAAGAGGGATGCATCAGATGTACGTTCGTCTTCTTCCAGATCTGCAATAACAGTGTAGCTGAGAATGGTCTTGCCGCACCCTGTCTTGCCATTCAACCATAACGAGGACGATTTGTCTGTTTTCCAAGACTTATAGTGTTCACTATCAAGTAGCCATTGACCAGTACCGCTCTGATGCTTCCCTTTAGCAGTGCTAAAGTTCTGCCGGTAATCTGGCGGTGACAGCCATTCCGTGATTTTGTCATGGCGCAAGGATGTGTGGAGATTGCTGATTCCAGCGGCGGCTTCGTGGGAAGAGGAGAGAACTTGATTTGAAACTATCTTAGCGGGCCGTAACAACAGCACAACTTATCTCGGTATCTATTAAGCTCATAATAACATACCATCTTGAAGCAACTCGCTAAGTTTCTCCGCTTCCGTGGCGCTGCCGGGCTGGATCTTCTCGAGGAGACTTTTTGTGTATGCCGCTGCAGTCATGGCCGCATATCCCTGCCACACCTTGTTCTTATGCGTGTCTGCATAGTCGCATATCCCTCGCACCACCAAACATGGGAAGTGGTTCATTAACCCGCCGGATTCCATTTCGAAACAAAGCACGTCTCTTTCTTTTGCCAGCCTGTCCCGAATTGTGGCGTCTTTCATGACTTGGTTCGCAGTGGCAATGAGTCCGTAATGTATAAATGGATCATCTTCATCTTCGTGCCGCTCACGGCGGAAAACAAAGAGCGAATCTTCCACGCCACAACTGATATCGCATCGCGAATTATCATTGAAAGGATGAACGACAGTCGATAAATAAAGCTTGTCCGAATCCGGGCCTGGCGAGCTAAACCTTGCTCTTATCCTTGGTACTTTGTTCAAGGCTGTCGTGATCATGTCTGGTATGTTGTGGCCGTACATCTCGTGTGCCACCTTGATGGCACTGACTGCCTCCCTGAGCACTGAGGGCGGCTTATCCAGATGCTGTGTCTCCTGAAACGCCTGGTTCTGAATAGTCCTGCCGTAATCATACTGGAAAACGCCAGGTTCCTCATTTCCTGGCGCACTCACAACAACATCACCTAGCCGGATGTCGTGTTTCTCGCTTGGTGCACCACCACCTACGCCTACCATGAGACCGATGGTGATATTGGGGAAAGTGCTAAGCAGGTTCCTGGCAGTGGCTGCTGCAGTGGCAGTACCGTACTCTCCGTCCGGGAAAACGGCAATGACAACATTGTGCCCGGCCATTTTCCCCAGCGTGTACTGATGCTTCGAATTATCCGATCGCTTGTGCTGCTCATCAAGAAGCGCAATGGCGGCGACGTATTCAGGAGGGATTGCACAGATCCAACCCACCGTGTAATCTCCACTAGGGAGGTCTGGCAGATCACGCTGGCCACCAGCATCGGTAGCATTGCTTGACGACATGAGAGAGTCCTTGTTTTCGTAGTGGTAAAGAATTCCCAATTCATCTGGTACTCTCGGACCAGAGGGAATGCGAGACGAGAATAATTGAATGACTGGGCAGCTGAGGGGTAAGTGCTGACAAACTTCAGCCGACATGCAAGTTATCACCAAGGAGGGGGTGGCAGTACATCCCGCATTTACTTGGCCCAGGAGCTGGACGCATACATGGCGTTCCAATATCCATCATAGGGAGGCGATCCGTGATGTACATGAGGGCTGCGGGGATGACATGCAAAAGGGTGTAAATCGTAGGCAGCAACTTCTGTACGCATGCCCAATGGGCTGATTGTAAGTGCGCCGTAGGCATTGGAGTTGAATCACACTGGGATCTAAGTAGCGAATTATTTAAGCCAGAACTAATGATTCTATTACTTGTTGCCCAGCTCCGTCTCGTGCGGGGAGTGTCTCTCTAACCCTACACGGAATTACTGTAGTGAGGTTACATCACAGAGGACCCCATACCTTATGTTTGAGACTAGAAAGATAGTGGAATAAATCACAATAAATTTATCTGAATCCCTCAATTTTTATTGCCAGCCCCACCGACACCAACATACAAAGAATGCCCAAAAGCAAACCCAGCGGAACAAGCGCGTTCGCGCTCAGCGCCGATCCTGGCGGTGTACCTTTTTCAGCCCATGGCTTTTCCATACTCCAATCCTCTAATATTTGGTTTACGGTAAGCTTGCTTCCAGCTAGACAGATTGGCATACCTGCTCCGGGATGGGTGCTTGAACCGACAAAGTAGCACGCGCCTACATCAGGATTGCTGGTACTCGGTCGAAAGCTCAAGACGTTGAAAAAACCGTGACTTAGTCCAAGTATAGCGCCACGATCAAGATTGAAGTGAGTTTTCCAAGTTTCCGGGGTATTGACAATTTCCTTGATTATTGCGTCCCTCAGTCCAGTGACGCCAGTACGGGCTTCCAGTGTCGAGATGACGCATTCGCGAGCAGTTTCCCCCATTTTGTGCCAGTCCTTTTTGCTTGTCGTACCCCCTCCTAGATGACCAACTGGCACAAGAACCACTACGGCATCGGTACCTGCTGGTGAGGCGGTTTCATCGACGCGGCTCGGCACATTGACATAAAAGGACGGCTGTTCTGGCATATCCTGCCGCTTGAAGATTGCGTCAAAGGACTCGCGGTACTCATCAGCGAGAAAGACATTGTGCGCTTGAAGTTCGGGAATCTCGCGAGACAATGCCCAGTAAAAGGAGATGGAGCTGCAGGAAGCCGGCTGCTTGGAAAGACGCTCAGCGCGTGGTGTGCTAGGTAGTAGGTGATTGGTTGCATAGACTAGGTCAGCATTGATCACGACGACGTCGGCCTTGAGTTGTTCCCCCGATGATAAAATAACGCCGGTTGCGCGATTTGAATGCTCGTCGACCATGACACGATTAATTGGTGCGTTGAGGCGATACTTTACTCCTAGGCGCTCTCCAACAGCAACCAGACCCTCAATGATGCGATGGAAGCCTCCACGGGGGTACCAGATACCTTCAGCCAGCTCTGAATATTGCAGGAGAGAGTAGATTCCTGGCGCATCATAGGGTGAGAGCCCAATATACATGGTCGCAAAAGTAAAGACTCTTCTCAGTCGCTCACTCTTGAAATACCTCGACGCCCGGCCATACACTGACTCGAAAGGATGAAGCTTGAGAATGTGTCGCAGAAAGCTTGGCCGCGCCATGGAGAGGAGCGACGTAAAGTTCTTGCGGAGAACATGGGTCACGCTGAGCTCCAAGTGCCTGTGAGATTCCTGCAGAAAAGACAGGTACTGCTGAAAGCCAGCCTCGCCTTCCCATTTCTCGATTTCCAGCTTCATGCTCGCCAGGTCGGTGGATGCGCTGAAGCAGTGGCCGTCGTGAAACCAGATATTGTAGTTGGGCTCGCATTTCAGTATTTCAATGCCCTCAGACTCGATGGATGTGCCCAGATCGTGAAAAATCTCTTCGAAGAAGCGAGGAATGAGTAGCAGTGATGGCCCTTGGTCGAAGCGCTATTACAAGCCAAAAGTCAGCGCCATGTCGTGGCATTGCCCCGTGAAAAAATAAGTAGCAAATCAATTGGATCAACTTACGTATCCTTCATGATGAATCAAGGAACATCGTCCGCCGGTAAAGTCATTCTTCTCGCATACGGTGACATCGAAACCAGCTCGGGCAAGGCGTGCCGCCGACGCGACTCCACCGATTCCGGCCCCTAAGAAGAAGAGAAAGAAGAGCACATGTTAGAGTCAAAAGAGACATGAAAATGAACTTTACAACTTACCAACTACAATGGCGGAAGGCCGCTTAGCCATGGTGCTGTATTGAGAGCTGTTGTGGCTGAAATGTATGGAGGATCGCTCAAAGACTGATGAGAGTCCTCGGCCGACTAAATACCTCCTGAGCGACGTAGTGTGTCTAATTTACACCGCATTTGTGCTACACAATGAACCTGAGGAACATGCATGTATACCTGAATTTGGAACTTTTAGCAATACGTGTATTTATACCAGCAAAGTGTGCATGCCCTTGTCTTGGTTTGTCTTGGCTGGCAAGGTGAGTCGGCATATTCATCTGTCCAGTCAGGAAAGCAGCACTTGCCACCTACATGATAGACCGCAGTAAACTCATGATAGCTCGTATTGATTTCGAGATCTATCTAAACGATTAGCTACATCGCACAGGGGTGTTCAAGATCGAGCTGATAACTCCATGGCCTCATCGCAGCATCCTGCATCGTCGCGTCCTCATCCCTGTGCTACCTATACATAGCTTTCCACGCCACCAAGAAACGCCGCCGTGCAGGTAAGCTGGCTCTGCCCGCCTTTAATTCGTAATCACCGCTTTTCAAAGCTCGCCCTATCTCCATGTAGCTCTCCACCGCGACGCGCATGGCTGCGCGTGACTCTTCAGGCAGCTGCTCAATGGCAAACCTGCAGTCCTCATACATGCGATTCGCCCGCTTTAGTAACTTGGCACGTAGATGCAAGACGCTGGCATCGCCGGGTCTGCTGAGAACATCCCCATGTGTGAGCTTGGACGCTTTGAGCCACTCAGTTGGCAAGTACACACGACCCATGCGCGCGTCTACGGCGATATCGCGAGCAATGTTTACGTATTGCAGAGCCATTCCCATGCAATTACCAGATGAGACTAGGTGTTTCCATAGTTCTGGCGTCACTTTGTGGGCAGTATGATGCAATAATAGACTGATGCACAGTTCTGCGACGGTCCCTGCCACGCGAGATGCGTACATCTCGAGGTCAGCCTCATCTGCAATAGGCCACTGCGCTGCGAGCTTTGCACTCTTTTCTCCTTGCGCAGAAAACTTCAAATCGGTTTCGAAGCCATCAATCATACGGTACAGCGGCGCACCAGGTAGATGGTCAGTCGGCAAGTAGAGCAGCGCTGAATGTGTCTTGGGTGGAAAGGAGCTTTCGATGAGCGACTCGAGCTCTCTGCGACACTCGGTATGCTCTGACCGCGGTTCATAACGCAAATCGAGATACTTGCGCAGCAACAGGACATTGCGGCGCGCTTCTTCTGGGGTCGCCGCGTTGTCTATGAGATCGTCGGCAGCACGGCAGAATGAATAGAGCAGCGTCAGGTCGATGCGAAGTCGTCCGTTGAAAAAAGCACTCGCAAAGTGGAAACTGCGGCTCTTTTTCTCCAGCCGAGCCATGGCTTCTTGTATCGCAGTGACGCGACCCAGGTCCTGTGAGGCAGAATCTAGGAGAAGCGCTCTTGCAAGTGTCGTCGGCGGTGGCAGAACCGTGACCGTTGGAAACGTGGCCGGAAATGCGTAAAACACGGCCAAAGCATTGTCAAAGGCGATCATTCCGAAAACAATCATGGTGTTGGTCACGAGGAAAAATAGAGCCTCCTCGATTTCCAGGTTCGGCCAGAGATGAAAGCTCGTCTTTGTATCCTGTTGAATCACCCAGGTTCCTCGCCGAAGAGCAATGGTGTCGACCATCCATAGATACACAGTCGGTATAAGAATAGGTAGTGCTATATTCTTTAACGGCAGGCGCTGAGCAAAACGACCAGACAGAGCCCAAAGCAGCAGCATAAAGGGACCTGCCCAGCTCATGATCAGACCGAGATACGTGACTCGGCCGCCTTTCCAGACCATGTATCCCGCGAGCACGATAGCGGCGCATAACAGCCATGCAACATAGCGCTTGCGCGAGTGAAATCGATTCTCCAAGTGCGCCTTTGAATGCAGGTACGCAGCATGCGTGGTAGCTTTGTTGAGGATGAGATACAAGACGCTGGTGTTGTAAGTCTGAACAACGAAGAAAAAGACTTCTTCAATCGGAACTCTGAAAAGCTTTGGTCCCATGATAGCTTCGGGTGGGTAAGTCCATACGTGATCTCGAATCAAGTAGGAGTCCCATGGTAGTGTTGACACCACAGCGATACATGTCAACGATGCAACACGGTAGTAGTCAAGCGGTGTCGAAAAGGGCCGGTATAAAAGTGACAGGAGAATGGCGGGCGGTATAGTGAACTTGAGATGGCTACACACACGTGGCAAATTGTCAGTATCTAAGGTGTGTTTAAAGTATTTAGTTTGCACTCACACGTAAGCATAGTCAAACTCCATGGTGCCGACGCTGAGAGAGGAATTGACTCAGTCAAGCCAGGTCAAGTCGCGGAAAGGGGTTACAGCAGAAAACGTAAAATGACTCGAAAACTTGGTGAAGAAAGTTTCCTGATGGGCAAAACAGTTGCCTGTTTCGTAGGGAATGACGGCTCTTATGATGAGAATTGGCAATACAGATGGGGTCGCGCAAGATCTACATCAACTTTCCCATCACCCGTATCGGAATTTTGGCGTCTGCCAGCTGGTCTCAGATGTATGAATCGGGAGCCCGTCGGTGGGTGTAGTAGGATAAAAATTCGGGATGGGAATGTGTTTGGGGCATCGAAATGACTACTCAAAATACGAATACATACACATCATGTCGTCATGAACACGATTCGGCGAGTTGCACCACACTGGCGGACATCGGTGGCGTCCTGTATTGACCGGGATGATGCAGGCGAGGCCACATTTGTTTTACTGATTCGCAATTCTCTTCAGCCTTTGAGACGTCGCAGAGGTCACTTACATTCTCGACGAATATAATTCTTCGTAGACTGAATCCCGATGGAAGCTATGAATCTGTAACTTCTGCCCTGATCTGCTGCAGCATATATATACCAATCAGTACGTGGATAATTCGGTTCGTGTCAATTGTACTGAATCATCACCAGAATACTTCTGTGGAGACTTACAGCGAGCAAAGTCATCATTCCGAATTTCTTTCATTCCATCATCTTGTCTTTTTCTTCAACGTTGTGCAAAAGCTGCGGCTACAGCTGCAGAGAGATAGCTGTCTGTCCTACCTAAACGAGTCCGGCCTCGACGGCAGATTTAGAACGAGTTTCCTCGATCCGTACCGCAAAAGAAGAGTTCCTGCTTCAAAAGCAACTTGAAGAAGCCAGCGTTCACGCGCTCCGATCCTCAACGACACTGCCGCTGTTGCAAATCGATGCACTTTGGGGCACCACAGCCTCAATCAGTGCAGCTACATCCATGTGCGTGACCGCCATCGTCACCGTGTTGATTGTTCATCTCGAATACGCGAGACGAACAGGGCATACATTGCCTCTGCAGCCGAAACCCCATCCGTATGCAGGATCCCAGAGCCCCCCGGACCCAGCGGGGGTTGTGAGACATGACCTGACAATTCCTCAATAGATATCTGCAGGGTAATTTCGCCCCCATCCACAAGACGCCTCCATTGACAAGATGTGTCTTCTCCGGCCATCTGCCTCAGAAGCTTTCCGGTGGTCACTGGTGAGTACGTCCGCAACGGCGGCAACCCAGCCAATAATCGGGATCTGGGCCGCGATGCCCACTGGTTTGATGGCGATGGCATGCTCAGTGGTGTTGCGTTTTTTTGAAGACCCCGGTAAAGGCACTTGTCAATCCGCCATCCAGCTACATCGTGATAGCATGTCGCGTAGCACGTACACTTTCGCTCATCATCATTTCACGACTTCCGGGATCGCCGCAGCCAATCAAGAAGATTTCGGTTGCGAACACGGCACTGTTGTATCATGAAGGCCGCGCGTTGGCAACGGGCGAGACCGGACCTCCAATGCGAGTCCTGCTCCCGTCACTAGACACAGTTGGCCGGCTTCAAGGTGGGCGTACTCAAGGAGAACTAACAGTACCAGCCTCCCAATCTGAGCAGGAGCTGTTAGGTGGCCACGATCCGCTTGCTTTCTCGCGCGAGTGGACGACGGCTCACCCACGCGTTGACCCGCGGACGAAGGAACTCATATTATTTCGCTCAACCTTTGTCTCACCGTATGTACGATAGTCCGTCTTGGCTGCGGATGCCCAAATCCGAGACACACCTTCCATGGTCAATGTGCCTATTCCGGGTATCACTTGTGCCAAGATGATGCACGATCTTGGCGTCTCGCCCACTCACACGACAATTCTGGACTTGCCTCTTTTTCTCGCTCCGCAAAACCTCTTGCGCAAAATGTCCGCCGTCTCATACGATGACCGCTCACTTTCTCGTTTTGGAGTCTTTCCACGGCACGCTCCCTCGCAGATTTGATGGTTTCAGTCTGACGGCTGCTGCACTCTTCACACGGCAAATGCATGGGACTCGCAAGACGCTGTACATCTGCCAGCATGTCGACCGACATCCGCTTCGTTTGTGTTTTCTGCCGCGGGTCTGTTACGGTGTACCATTGAAACCTACTTTTATATAATTACTATTTAATTTTAAAAATTAAATCCTATAATTTACACCACATCACACTACATTATATAAAAATATAATATATTTAAATACTCTTTCCTCTCCTAATAATACTTTAATCTAATAAATATTTCTCTATATATTATTGAATAGTTAGTTAATTAAGATTTTAATAATCTATATATTTGATAAAGAGATATATTTATAAAGATATTAATATTTAAAAATATTATATTTTAATATTTTATTATACTCTATATATTATTTATTAGAATATTACTAGAAATAACATTTAATATAATATTTTTAAATATTAATATTTCTATCAATAACTATATAGTAACTAAGTCACTTTTTACAAAAACTCAAGATCAGGGTATAAGGGATTGCAGAACGTGCGGATACTCTTTCGGTCTACCGCGTGATACTGTATACTGTTGCAATCACAAAGAGGAAGGCGGTATACAAACGGCTGATATGCACCTGTGAATGATCTAGACAAAAATAATCACAAACTGTGAGCAGAAAGCCGTTTACATTACTAACTTAGGCAGAAAAGGCCGCTTGCAGCACTAGCAAAGGAATGCTAATAAAAGCCTATTTACAAGCGGATTAATTGAGGAATTTAGGGCTATAAAAAGAGGATGATTTCCAGGCTAAAAGTAATTAATTTTAAAGGATAAGGCTAACTATGATATAATAATAATTCTGTTGCTTGATTGATGACTTGCACCAAGACGCCCGCTTTGCCAGAGCTCTGCACAGGTTTTCGATTTTACTGCCCTTGCCACCATATCCAACCCAGACTGAAGCAAAAACAAACATGACCACTCTGCTCGAAGTATTTCTAGAACGTCATAATTCTGTCCGCTTTGTGCGACTACAGTGGCAAGATGTATCTGGAGTCTTACGCGCGCGCGTTGTTCCTGTGAAGCAGGCGAGACGATTGGCAAGCGGTAGAGCAACGATGCAACTAGCACCACGTTCGCTTGAGTCGGCAGTGGAAAATAGCGTGCTAACCGCTCCTACAAATTATTTAGGCAGTGATAGAGGTTGTCCAGACTGGACTACACTACGGACGAGGACAATGTTGGATCCGCTCTATGCCAGCGTCATGTGCGGCATTTCAAGAGATCAGGGACCAGAGTCCAGGAGGAACGATGTTTGCGCTCGTCGCTCTCTCGAAAACGTCTTGTCAGAAGCATCCCAGCGATTCCAGTTGGAGTTTCTTATTGGTTTTGAAGTCGAATTTGAGATATGGAGGCCCAACGCGAATGGCAAGCTTGTCTTGCACAGCACCGGCTTGGGTGGGTCGGCGTGCTCTGGTCTCCGGCACGCCTGGTACGATTACGTTGAGGAAGCCATGCTGATACTCTTGGAAGCAGGAGTCGGCTTAGAAGGGATGCATACCGAAGGTCAACAAGGGCAGTTTGAGTTCAACCTCGAACCAAAACCGCCCATGGAGGCTGTGGATGAGCTAGTCTTTGTTCACGATACGCTCAAGAGAGTGTTTGCTCACCATGGGTTGGTAGCCACAATGTTTCCGCGTCCCGCAGCACATCGAACGCAATCTATTGGACAGCACGTTCACTTATCTATCACGGATCGCCCAGAATTGGAGCAGTCTTTCCTCGCTGGAATTCTACGTCACCTCCCTAGTTTGGTCGCTTTCTCTTTACCGTATGATTTGTCTTATGAAAGGCTCCGACCTGGGCAAGGTGGCAGCGACATCGTCGCCTGGGGAACGCAAGATCGTCGGGTCTCTGTAAGGAAAGTGAAAACAGGCCATTGGGAGCTGCGTTGTGTTGATGCGACAGCCAACATGTACCTTGTGCTGGCTGCAGTACTGAGCGCGGGCTTGTGGGGATGCATGAATGGTGAATTGCTGCACCATCAGGATACATCGTCTTTGAGCGAGGAGCAGATTACCGACAGCGGTGCTCCGTGTATCCCCAGTACGTTCGAAGCCGCGCTGGATCAGCTTGAGCGAGACTATGAATCTGAGGGTGGGGTGCGGGAGACGTTGATGGAGAGCCAAGTCATCTGTCACTACCTGAAAATGAAGAGATACGAGCGGTTTCAGTTGGCTCAGATGGGAGAAGATGGAGGAAGGAGCCTGCTTACTGAGGTGTTCTAATACTACCTTGGTGGTACACACCTCAGATTAAGCCTTGCTTAGCATTCATCGTTTTACTTTGTTTTATACAACTCTTGGTCCGTCTTGTCGCCGTGGCGTTCCACCTTTTTGCGCTGTCTCGTTGCATTCCTCTACGGTGGACTGAGATTCTGCACAACTCGCGAATCTTTCTTAAAATTACCGAATAAGAAAATGAGTATCTAGAATAAGAAATGATCATTTATTTAGCCATAAATATGTTATCAGGCGTTTTTTTGATCGTAAAGTAAACTTGTATGTAGTTTCGTGTCATGTAACCATACGTGCAGTATGCCCGATGGCTAGGTGCCTCATACTCAAAAACGTCATAAATGTATTATTAAGGTCAAAATAGGGGTAGAATTGTACTAAGAAATTAAATGTCAAGCTAATGCTACTTTCATCTTGTCACTTGGCGCAACCTGCGAAGAATAATTCAAGCTTTCTGTGCATATTTATCATCATGCTCCCGAACCACACGAGGTTGGGGGCACATGATACCGAAGTTCAAGCTACAGTCTCCACTGCTTCCTTGTTCAAACGGTATTCATCGCTTGAATGGAATATGCTACCTTCCCTAATACCCGGCCTTTTGCCATCAAGGAATTCGGGCGAGAATAGGCATCCAGGATCAATTCTAGCTTGCTCCGACTTGACGAGGCCGAGGCTACCACGCACCAAAGAGGGAGCTAGCCCATCGATTGGGTCCAGCGTAAAGCTATCAATTTCAAAGGGATCTTCGCGAGTCAATCGCCTGCTTTGTAAAATGCCGAGAACTTTCAGCTCGTCGGCTGTAAGGTGATGCTGCAAATCGCCGAGGCCGTTCGCCCACGAGACATCTGAATCTTCCCCGTTGACACCCAGCTTGGTGAGCTTCTTGAACAAGGCCTCTTTCTGTTCCGGGGCGACGTAGGTGAATGACTTGGAGCAGAACTCCAAAATCTTTGATATTTCAGCTTGTGTCACTTTGCTTCTAGTGTCATTGTCGACAGTGCCTTGAATAACTAAATCAATGTTGGAGGTGGATCGTTAGCAATGTGGGAAGAGAACGTAAAAGACGGCTACGGTTCAAAGTAGGCGACTTACTAGGTCTAAAAAGATCAAAGGCTCTTTGGAACCCTTCTTCATTCAAGTCTTGCAAGATTGGCAAGTGCTTTTCTCGAATTTGCTTGGTGGCGCTACTGACAGCCAAGAAGAAGCGACTGTAGCTCTGAACTGTTTTCTTAGAGTGCCACGCGCCGGCTGTATGCTCATCACAGTCGCCTCTGACTGAAGCTGCGATGGTAGCTGCTGCAGAAAGACCACCCGTGATAGCTAGGTGGACACCGGAGGAGAACAATGGGTCGATAAAACTTCCAGCGTCGCCGCATATCCGTGCGTTGGGTAGATGATACGTCGACGCAGTGTAGGACCAATCTGAAGCTGACCGAACATCAGAAGCCAGCTCAGCTCCCGCGAGGAGTTTTTGCGTGGTGGGCGCCATCTTAAGAGCTATCTTGTAGTACTCTAAGCCCGACGGCCGCCCCAGGTCTCGCTTCGCCCGGGCTGCTTGCTTCTGGTCTTGTACGATGCCTACGGAACGAGTTCCGTCATGCAGTGGCATAAACCAGGCCCAGCCACTGGCATCTGTAGTTTGTACCTGTTAGTTAATAACCGTAAACTGCCACGTAGAGCTAGGGCAGGTCAAGGTACTCACCATCCAGTGCCTCAAAATAGGGGGAGCCTTGCATGTGCGTTCCAGGACCGTAAATATTATCGCTTTTCCAGTATGCCCAATTGGCGACATTTTTAAAGTTGTCATTCACCCTTCTGTTCTTCAAGTACTTGGTGCTCAGGATTCCCTGCCTACCACTGGCATCCACAAGGTACTTGAAGGAAATGGAGCCTGAAGTGCCGTTCTTACGCGCCCATATGGCCGACTCAGGACGCGGCGCATCAACAGTAACCTCGTCGTCGTCAGGCACAGCGGCCGTATTCTCCCTTTCGCGTGCAAACAAGATTTGCTTGACTTCTGTTGACTCGAATATCTGAGCACCACAGACCCCGGCGTGCCTGAAGAGTATATCGTCGAATTCTGACCGCAGCACATTCCATGCATATCCTTCGGGGCCGCCGGCTTCGAGGAAGTCAGTGTCTGGTATAAAGATTAGTTGGACTGATATAGATAGAGTTCGATGGATAGCAAGCAGGGAAAGAGCTTACATGCATCAGGCTGGCCCTGAGCGAGCCGAAAAACAGCACCATTCTGCTCGCGTTATCATTGGCTATGAGCCGGAACTATTTGAGACCAAGTTACCTTGTGATAGAATCCGTGTGCATTTATTTTATCGTAAACATCAATAAACTGGAAGAAGTGTCGGAGAGATGGAAGCGTGCTTTCGCCGATGTGGTATCTGATGGTGATGCTTTAGTCTAACGGGAACCTGTATTATATTTCGCAGAAACTCGAGATGACGAACCTCGGGAATTTTTCCGCTTCGAGCAAAACGGTGTCTATACCTTCACGAGCCAAACACGCCGCTGCATATGAACCCGCGGGGCCTCCTCCAACAACAAGCACAGTACAGCTACTGGGAATGGCCATAGTCGACAGCCTCAACGATAGGCAGTTTCGACTGATAATGAGTGGAGAGCAGCAGTATAACTTAGATCTATGGTATCTGGATAGTGGACAATGAGCGATTTAAATAATCGAATCCGGTCAGTACTTTGTCCAATATCCAGACCTCAATCGACGTGTACTCGGATGCACGGTATCGATCAATGGGTAATTTCTGCAAAAGAATGGCCGCGCAGTTGAGTAGACGTATGCGCGTCTGACGTAGCCTGCGCCTGCATCTGCATCTACCTACATTCAAACGCCCGCATGGCCTTTTTGCTCTTACTCAACTTGCATTGTCGGGACTCCGAAATACCTCTTATAGGTCGAGACCTGCAGCTAGGCTAGCTTTGATATAGCATACGCCCGAAGCTTCTGTGGAGAGGTTACTTCGCAGGACGATGTCGGTTGGTGATTGCATGACTGTGCGGAAAATATTTGCAGAAGACTGTTATCGTCTCAGTGTCTTTAGACATGACGTAGGCAGTTGTAAATGTAGCAATTAACTAGACTTTAAATATACCGCGCTAGTCACTACTGGTAACCCCAGAGGGGCTACTTCGGCAGCAGCCGGACTTTGACCTTGGCTCTTGATATCAGCATTGCGTCGCTCCCCACTACCATGGTCGGGAATGCTACTTACCATGGACCCCCGTCACTTCAACACCTAACGTGATGGGCGATGTGTGCTTCGAATATTTTACATGATTCAATACAACAGCTATGCATCATAAAACGTCTGGTATATTTTCTGCTAGATGCTGAGTGGTCGTAGCGAATCTCGTAGCCCTGAACCTCCTTCAAAAGGCGACAGGAAGGCCTTGTCCAGAACTGTGGATCGAATCAGCGGGGGACCAGCTCACGTGCGCAGCTCAACCATGGTCGAACAAAGCTCAACCTTGGTCGAAGTGGGGCAGAAAACGGCAGAAAAATGATACTCAATTACAGATACGTTATAGCTACTTAAATTACTAGGTTAAACCTAACCCTAGCATAGACCTACCATATACTTACTCTATATAGGGAATATATAATGTAGCTATTGCCTCTAGCGCTGTTGCCTCTAGCAGCTATTACGGCTATATTCCCTATATATATATAGTATACTATTAGGACCGATTTTTAGAAGGTTACCTTTTTATACTAAAGCACTTACATTTATAATTTACTCTATATTATACTAAAATATAGCATCTTTAAGTATTAGTTTCTTTATAAAAAGAGCTTTAATTCTATAAAGATTTATATATATTAAAATATAATTAGTTATTAGAAAAATATTATAAAAATATTATTATTAAGTACTAGACTTTTAGTTATTTAAACGATAAATTTAGTAGTATTTATTTTAAGGTATAATAATATAGTTTTAGTAGTATAATATAATAGCCTAATTATAATTTTAGCTTTTTAGTTTTTTTAAATCTTAAATTAAAGAGTTATAATAGAAAAGTAGGTGTTCAAGGTACACCGTAGTCTGTCTATACCACCGGCTAACACAGACCAATCCCGTCTGTACTACTACTAATTCCCCCTTCACCCTTCGGCTACTAAAATCGCTTCGGAGTGGGCTGTACTTTCTCTGCCGTTCAACATTCCATCTTTGCCGAACCATCTTTGCATAACCCACACTCGGTACGTATACGGCTGCAGCTCAGCATCGAACGACCCGGTGCGTGTTTTTCAGCTACCACAGGGATGGTATGCTCAAGAGCCGCGCTTTGTTCCGCGACAAGGTGGGAACGAAGAAGACGGATGGTTGCTGACGTACGTATTTGACGAATCGCAACTCGATGTTCATGGAGATGTGCGGCAGCATTCGATCAGCGAGCTTTGTGATTGATGCTGTAAACATGTCGCGTGACATGGACGCCGTCATCGCCAGGGTGAAGTTACCGCAGCGAGTGCCGTATGGTTCTCACGTTAATTGGTTTTCGGAAGAAGAAGTCAAGAACCAGAGACCCCACGACCGAGTCAGGAGTTCAGTAAATGTAGTCTCCACCCAGGAGAGCTCTCAGGCTCTACAACAACCTTGAAACTACCTCGGGCGCGTATTGCTAGATTATTTGCAATGACGCTTCGCTCACTGTTTTTTGTCCTCATCAGACTTGGATGAGGTAGCATGGCAAAGGCTACCACACATATCGAAAGTGAATATTTTCCTTGTCAGTTAGGTCTTTGAAGTCTGTATCGATATGTCCATCTGCCCCAGCAGCCACATCAATGGCATCTCTGCGGCGATTCTCATGCCAACAATACAGCGCGTACAAAGTAATGATAATCATCGCGAGAACATAGCTGGCTAAGATAGCGGCCACGCCAAGCGGGTATAGAGGTGCCTGATGTGATTTGAAAAACTGGGGTGCGATAATATTGCTCGTGCAGTAAGCCTGTAAAACGTTAGTGAAGGCCTTCTTCAAACAGCGTCAAGCATGTCAAGCACTTACAATAAATGCGAGTGCGTTTGTCGCAACTTTTTTGGTATGACCAGCCGTGTTGGCCGCGTTGAGACCCAGTGATAAAATGTAGGGGCCCAAGTAAAAGTACGACATGTACAAAGCAGGCAAGCGAGAGTGAAAGGCATCCAGAGGTAGAGTGTAAAGAAAGACCGACGACACTAGTCCAACGACAATTCCAAGGATGACAAACGCTGTGCGACACTGGTACTGAGGGAAATTTTTTGCGCAAAGAAAAACACCGCCGTTGCATATGTACGATGATATTGTCTGGATGATGCCAGTCGGCATGGTAAGAAGCGTGGAGCGCTGCGAGGTAAAACCGAGTCCCTTGATGACGAGCGGGGTGAAGTTTGTAAGACCGCCGTTTGGTATGGAAATCATAATCTGAAAGAGAAACATGAGCCATGTCTTGGGATCGACCAATGTCTCTCTGAACTGCTCCCATTTGAACTTTTTGTTCTCAACTCCCGTTTGATCCGCGCGCAACCTGTCGATCACGATGCCTTTTTGCCGGTCCGTGATAAATTTGGCTCGAACCGGACTATCCGGCAGAAAAGCGCCAATCACGAGTGCCCACGAGATTGTCATGGCACCGGTGATCCAGAACATGCTCCTCCACTGGTGGTCGCCTGACAGGAAGCCGATGCCCCAGCCGATTGGGCCAGTAAAGCACACGGACAGACCTGTATACATCAGGCCTGTACGTAAAGATTGTTCGGAGCGCGAGTAAAACATGGAGATTAGCAAGTAGTTTCCCGGTACAATTGGAGCCTCGAGGGCGCCCAAAATGACACGGAGGGCGATGAGGGTTGGAAAGTTGTTGGCGAAGCCTGTGGCGATGAGGATGATGCCCCAGAGAAACTGAACGGCGCACATGAGCTTGGCAATGGGGAATCGCTGGAGCAGACTGCCACTGGGGAGACACCAGAATAAGTACCCAAACTGCGACTGTCAGACGCATGTTTCCAGGAAAATACGAAAGGGAAATGGGCGAGGATTGGTCAAACAGCGCCGGCTACCTAGCAAACGAAAAGGACTTACGTAGAAGGCGCTGCCTACCCAGCTGTACCGATCCCCATACAAGCCTGTATCTGCTCGAAAACCATATAATACAGCTGTAGATGTGGTGATTTTATCCATGGCACCAAGCGTAATATTGAACCACAGCAATGGAACGAGCCGCAAGTCAAGTTTCCATCGCAGCCTAACCCACTCGCGGCTCGAGTACGTCTCACCGTTGCTGAACACATCCGCGTACTTGGCAGCCTCATCAGTGGCGGCTTCGTGTGACAAAAAGTCAACAGGTTCAGTTTTACTGGCGGCGATGGCTGACAGATTTTCCATTTCCTTGCGTCCTAGCTGCGAATCTTGCCGTTGTTTTCAGAGATGGTGACCGTAAATAACTACGTCACCATGTCACACTGACCTGGTGTGATGTTTGAGGAACACCCAAAAGAAATCGCGGGGTTCCGAAATGTACCGTATTTAAGCAAGTATATTATTTGCTCCTTACTCATCACTTTCATCACCGGCCATCTCTACCCTGTCAAAAAGATCAGCCAATCATCAAGCCGCTCTTTAATAAATCTCTTGAGCTCCCACAGTTTTTCTTCCAACATTACTTTCTCTCCTTCACAGACATATATTTCGGTATTCACAGTCTCTCCAGTAGGCTGGTCATTAATTCCTAGAAGTTTGGCAGTGGTCTCCTGCACCACATAGATTTCACCTTCGAAATCGTCAAGTTTCTTGCGTTGTGACGTCGTGTTCACCTGCAGCAGATACCCATCCACACATTCCTCTTCTCTTGCTCCTTCGACTACTGCTGGATAGTCGCTGTGTTTGACGGCTAGCGGAGTGTATCTAGAAACCAGGGCGAGTTTCACCATGTGCTCAATGTCTGCTACTCGCAAGTAGTCGCCTGTTAAAGTCCATGCATGCTAGTAAGGGCTTTTTGCCCGAATTGTGCCGTAAATAAAGATCGGGCGTGGAGTTTTTGAATCTGATATTGTGAGGCTCTCAATAGCGAGATCCGTCCGTCCCAGATCGCTTGGTGCTGAGTTCTCCATAGTAGAGAGCTGTTTGTGTGCGTCGTTGCGTGTGTTTCCCGCGTGGAGTGTTTTTCAATGAGTGTTCGGCTGGTCCCCAGTATTGAGGATGAAAGATGTTTCTCAAAGGTTTAAAGCAGTGATATTTAGCCCGTAGGTGTGTCTCTATTTGAACCGTCCTTTCTTCGGCACGCGCTTCGTGACGCGCAATCGTAAAGCCGCTGTCGGTGCTAATGAGTAGATGATGAATGGTTGCTTGTTTGCACGAATCACATACTGAACTCAAAAGCAACATACAAGTACACCACTGTCAAAGAAGGTCTTCTTGTGGCTTGTTGATACTTGGGTGGCTTATATTATTCCGCCACGTCCTCGAGTAAAAGTGGCTATCATCACGTGGCAGTTATGAGGCGCTTGAAGAATCTTGACTACATACATATAGCGACAAAGAGTAGCGCCGAACAGATTGGGTACCTTTTGTTACCCATAGGCTATCTGTTTGTCATTGAAAGACCGCAGACACAAACCATGCCTGGACCAGACATGGTGGGACCACGGGCTTGACTTTGGGGCCAGAAACTCTCCTCACCACGCCGACCGAGAGCATCAAGACGACGCTGCTTCCTATTCAAAAAGACGGAGAGAGAGATGGAGGAAGAAAGAGACCGCACGCTGCAAATAGATAGGTTCTATAAAGACTGCGGTGTATCAGGCTGTGTTTCCAAAGCGGCCTCGATCCATCGCCACAACTTCGACGTTGTCACAAAATTCTTATTCATCTCCGCCACCACGCTGAGCTTCCTCGCAATCGCACGACTATCGGTCGAGTTGGCTCTAGTACCAAAGGCGGCAGCCTCCAACTTGTGCAATTCCGAAGCTGCCAGGTCATTCTCACGGAGCTCCTCCAAAAGTTTTTTATTTTCTTCCTCTGCCGCCATTCTACGGAATAATTCAGTAACATCGTCGTCTTCTGCGTCTGCTCTATAGACAAGCCTGTACAAGTCTTTTAAATGAGCAAAGTCATACTTGGATGTCAAACGCACAAGACGAGAAAAGGACCACATCATGTCGGCCTTGTCCCAGGATTCCGCGGGCGGCGGATTATCTGCAGCAAAGCCTTGGCGGAACGCGCTGAACTGCTGCTCTGGGGGACGCGTCTGTAGGCCCGGCGTGGTGAGCAGTTCGCTCAGAGGACCGCTCGACGCAGAGCCCCAGTCGATGAGGCAGGTAATGTTGAACTCGCCGTCGACAAATATGTTCCCGAGATTGAGGTCGGGATGAAACAACGTGTAGGACTTTTCGGGCATGGAAATGCGAGGTATCATTTGCTGTAATACCTGTCCCGCAAGGCAGAAATCCAGAACATTTTTGCTGTTTTCAACGTTGGCACCAACCGCAACATAGTCGCTCCAGCGATTCGCCGCCGCCCTGTAGCTCGACCAAGTTGAATAGTCTCCCTCCTAAGGAATGGGCGCGAAAAAAACATGCGGTGAGAGTGACAGTTCCTTGGCGTGGCCGACAAGGGCGGAGATGAGCGAGGCCAAATACTGGCCATCATATGTAAAAGGGCCGCGCTCTACGGCAGTGTCCTCAAGTGAGTCTCGGTGCTGCCAGATCAAGGCTGGGGAGAGGCACTCGCCGACCACGTAGCTCCCGAGGCCATCCTCGAATACAGAGCCAATCTTGTCGAAACGAAGCCTGGATAGACGGCCCGTTATGTCACCCAGCTGTCTCATAATATTTTCTCTCGCTCCGTCGGGTAGGGGCAAACGCAAAGGGTCAGCCGTGAAGCTCGATGTCGTGCAATTGATCCAGTGATACTCCCGTAGAGAGCGACCGGCCGCTTTGCTCATGAGAATGTACGGCACCCCTATATCGTTATCGCACGATGCGCTGATAGAATGATGCAGGGAAGAAGAACAGTCAGCGCAGCGTTTTGATTGCGTACATGAGTACCCCAAACCTGAAAGAGTACACTTCTGGCACGGGGACCGTAGTTTTCTCTCTTAGAACCTTTAGAGTCGCCACTTCGCTGAGCAGCATCTTCTTTACAGAGTCGTCTGAAATGATGGCCTCGCAACCGGTGCGAGGGGATCGAAAAGCCCATTGCACACCATCGTCAAATGAGACGAAGATGACCCAGTTCATGCTGCCAGTCTTTGGCGCGGCGGTGGTATCGCATGTACATTTTCGGCCGCGAGGCCTCCCGCGAGTGCCAAAAGCGCGTCGAGGCCGAACCTAGCATGACGGAATATCCGTTGCGACATTTTGATGTTGTTTGCATAAGCAAGGCGACAGCGGTGTAGTTTATGGTTGAGCTTGTCCTACCTGAGTCGCTCACGATGTGGATCAAACAGGCAGCACTTGGACCCTATATGTCTCGGTTGTGCAAATTCTCTCCGATACTACACCTCTCAAAGTAGCCTAGAAGCAAGTGAGCCTTCAAAGTAAGAAATTCCCATCTCATTTACATTAGTATCTAGTTCGTGTTTTATACGTGTGTAGCATGGGTATAATAAACCATGCCAAAGACTAAAAGAGACACCGCATGTGCATATTTTCCCGCTCAACTCCAGAAATGCAACTACTGTGATATCTTCACAGCCCGACCCTCGCAAACATGTCATCATACAACTTTCCCACCCATCCATCCTGCAAACCCCCCCTCGCCACGACCCCCATGCCGCCCACGGCCCACGCCGCCGCCACCAGCGCCACCACTCCATGCAGCGACAGCCACCTGTTCCTCCTGTTCCTCTGCGTCTTCCTGTCCACCGTCAGCGCCGCTGCGCCGCGCCATCCCTGCGTCGACGGCGCCCACCCGCACCACTTGGCCGCGCCCCAGACCATGTGGCCCGCAGCCGACGCAATCAGCCCCCAGTACGCCGCGTGCGCAATCACCGGATGCCGCGCAAAGCTGTGCGCCACGTACGCCAGCCCAATGTTGGCGCTGTCGCCGTCAACCGCCAGCGGCAGCAGCCGGTTCGCCCAGACGTGCGCGGCGCCAAACACCGCCAGCGCGTAGCCGGACGCGGATATGTAGCTAAAGGGCGGCCAGAGGGACAGCGCCGCGGCGCCCGTCTGCGAGCGGTGCAGCGCGTACATGGCGGGCGTGCCGCCGCCGTAGCGACGCATGTTGGCGCGCCGCCGGAGCAGCCGGAGAGCGATGCCGGCGCCGACGTGCAGGGCTGCGGGCGCGGCGACGAGGAGCGGCTCCAGGAGGGGCGTCTGGTAGATTTCGCGCGCCATGAGAAGGTAGGTCTCGGAGGCGGCCACGGAGCGCTGCGCGGCGGGGATGAGGGACACGTTGGCGAGGTGCAGGGTTGTGAAGACGGACATGGCGTAGCTAGAGTAGCGTTGAATGCGTGAGACTGAGAGGGGCAGGGTTGGTCAGTGCACAAGTCGGATGTTGGCAGAGGGGGGAAGACAGAAGTCGTACGGTAAAAGATGGTGCTGTGGCCGCCATGGGTGCTTAGGCCAGGCCCGGTGGTGGTGCTCGCCAAGTCGGTCGACGCCGCCAAGATGGTGTCGGAGCCATCAGTTTCGACGCCGTCGTCGAGCGTCTTCTCGTCGGAGGGCTGCGGCGACTCGATCGGGGACGGGTCGAGCTCGAGCAGCGAAATGATGGTCTGCTGCGACGCGCGGTGGTTGAGCGACTGTGTGCCGTCCATGGCGAAAGCCTGCGGTTTAAGCGTGCTCGATCCACACTTTGCAGTTTGGTGTTGTAGTGCTGCGTGTGAGTCGGGATGAGCTTCGCAGGCTTGAGGATACACAATGGGAGGCGTGTTGAGAGGATGGCCAAGCTGTTGGTCGTCGCGTTGGGCGTCTCAGGGCCCAGTTGTGGCCCGTGGGGAGCCGAGGCTGGCCCCGTCAGCATGAATTGCAGCGCTGTCAGTGGGCAGCCACGCTGAAAGAGCCCCGCCGCGGCGCTCTTCCCCCACTGAGCCGCGCACCGCGCTTCAGCGTTTCGCCCAGCCCATCACCAACTCCAACAAACACCAACCCTCCTTCAAGCCTTCAACACTACACATTGTCCCAAGCGCGTGGCCTCCTCAAAATGCCTCCGGTACGCCCCCATATTCCTTTCCCTTCTTCTGTCGCATTCTACTGACGCTTTCCCACCCAGCGACATCAAACCCTCCCCCCCGCCGCCACGTCGTCGGCCCGCGACGCACAGAAATCATTCTACTGCGCCCTCTGCGCCAAGGGCTACACGCGGATGAACGACTACGAGGCGCACCTTGGCAGCTACGATCACTCCCACAAGCAACGCCTCAAGGATATGAAGGCCATGGTCCGGGACCCTGCAGCCGGCGCGCGTGCCCGCAAAGCCGAGGCCAAGGCCGACGGCCTCATTAGCATCAAGGTGCCCGACGGCGGCGGCGCTACTTCATCGACGGCTGGTGGAGGCTTCAAAAAGGGCGGCTTCAAGAAGAGTGGGTTCAAAAGCACAATGGCGCCCGCCACAGAAGGCCAGGGGAAGCCCGAGGCGGTGGCACAGCCTGTGCGGCCGGAGGCAGCGGTAACGACGGCCACGATCAAAGCACCACTGGGGACGGGCGAGAGCGATACCGAAGACGAAGGCTACGAAGTGTACGATCCGAGATACCCGACCGATTGAGAGGTCCACACGAGATGAGGTCACGCAGAAATGATGTATTTGAAATCAAAAGGAAAAATTGCCTGCAAGCAAGTCATGACTTTTTTTGGTATCATTATCATTACAAGTGGGATGTGCCACGCAACGGCTTTTGATCTCTACATTGACCCCGTGTGATGGTGTCCATGCACTGAATTACTCGTCGGTCCGGGCACCTGCCCAGCCTGTTGGTGAGGCTGTTGGTGAGGCTGTTGATGCGACTGCTGCTGTTGCTGTTGCTGCAGATGTGCGGCCCCCGGCTGCAGCCATCGATACGACTCGATATGCGATAGGTCCTCCTCCAGCAGCCCCATCATGTTGCGATTATTCACGAACCAGTCGGCAATCTGCGCGACCTGCGGATTGTGCGGCACCTGGCTTCCCGCCGCCGTCGGTTGTCCGTTGGGATGCACGCCGGTGCCGCTACCGTCGTGCGCGGCCCCCGTCATGGTCTGGTCTTCCATGGGCATCAACCCAAGCTGGCTGAGGTACATTTCAAACTCGTCGCCAATGGGCACGACGCCGTGGCCGTTGCTTCCGCCGCCGCCCTCTTGCTGGTGCTGCTGCTGCGCCGATTTGGCCTCCACATACAGCGTCAGCACGTCGTACATGACTTGGCACAGTCGGTACAGCTTCTCGACCGCCTCGGACGAGTCCCGCGCCAGGGCTAACGAGGCGACGAATTCTTTGAGGATCTTGAGGTCGTCGGCAGATGAGGTTTCAATGACGTAGCAGAACAGCACGAAGAAAGGAGCAAAGGGGGTTAGGAGGAGGTTCCTATAGATATTAGCGGGGCGTTCAGGATGAGACAGGATATTGTAATGAAAATAACGTTTTCTTACCAGTGAACGTATATGGTCTTGACAAAACTGCCGAGATCGATTAACCGCGCGCAGTCCTGATGCGCACTCATGGCTCTCCGCGCCGCCTCGAGACACTCATCGCAGAAGCGGCTCACCGAGCGCTCAGGCGCCGGTATGACACGATAGATGAGCGTCTGCGTCACGTAGTACTGCACTTCATCCCCGCGGATAAAAACATCCACCACATCCGAAATATTCATCTGCTTGATGTAGCTGTAGGCGTTGCTCCTCGCCTGGTCGCCACGGACGCCCAGCTTGCGGCACTGCTCGGCCAGCCCGCGCGCGCGACGCACGAGCTCGTCCTGCGGGCAGTGCAGCGCTGCGGGGCTGTACAACTGCTCGTATATGACGCTCTGCAGGCCAGATATTTCCACCCACATGGTTGGCACGGTGTCAGCGCCGCTGTTGTCGAGTAAATCAAACTCGAAGACGCGAGGAATGTCAATATCGCACTCGTGGATGACGGAAGCGCGACCGAGGCGCAGACCGAGACCCTTATCGAGAGTGTAAATATGCCAGAAGAGGATACGCTTGATGCGCGCAATCTCAGGCGGGTCGTGCGCGAGACTGTCTTGGCGGTGGAAGCCGCCCGTGAGGCAGAGCTGCGCGCCAGCTGAAGCAAAGTGCCAGGCGACGGTGGGGCGGGAGACGTCGACGGCGTAGAGGCTCTGCTATGAGTTAGTATGATGAAGATGGCGGGATAAACGGAGACGTACGCCAAGTAGAAGGGCTTGGACATTGTCGATTTTGGCGGACAAGAGCATCGGTAGGTTGGCCAGTGTGGTTTCGAGGTTGGCGCGGCATAGTTGGAAATGACGATTGTATTCTTCCCTCACATCAGGGTCTGAGCAAAGAGAATGTTGCTCCAGGAACAAATTATATAGCAGCGCGCTGACGACGGCGAAGGTGGCATCAGACACGTCTTCTGTGGGGAAGTACACCGCTCGACACAGAGTGGTGATGTCTGTAACGCCAACCAAGTCGCACATGATGGTGAATAGTGTCACGGGAGAAGCTATGCTAATTAGCACGGTTTCAACAGAGATGGTTCGTCATGTATACCCTTGTTCTTTTTGAGTAGCTCTACGACCAGCGCCATGGGTGGCAGAGGAAGCTTGGATACGCCGCCGGGGGGAACAGCGCGCTGCAGCGGGAACCGGGGCCGGTGTTCCGGGCGGCTTTGCTGCATCTCGACGAGCTGGCCGAGATTCGCCAAAGCCGCTTCCATCTTAGGGTTGGCGGAGCGAAGCGACGTTCGCTTCACGGCACGCTCGAGAAACTCGCTAGCAAAAGCAGTGTGGACCGTCAAGCCCGAATCGCCGCCAAAAGCGGCGTCCTCCTCACTGCTCTCATAGTCGGCGGTGGACTCGCACGTCGGGCCGCTGCTACCCGTCTGCGGCGTGGAAATGATGCGGCTGGTGGCGTCGTTAGGAACACCGGACGTGGCGAGATTTCTGAGAAGTGTCTCGATGCTGCCGAGTCGCGACTCGATTTGGTCGATCTTGCGCTCACTGAAGTGGTCAGCGTGAGTCGGTCACAGCATAGTGGCGGCAACATACTATTGAGAAGAGATGAGAACACGTTGACGGGGTTCTTTAGGGCGCTGACCAGCGCCGGTAGAGGTACAAGGACGCTTGGCCGTTCTGCAGTTGGAGCAAGGCCAGTCCTTGTCACAGCGGATCTGGGTAACAGTTTGTTAGCGGAATCTGTAACGATGGAGAGCAGTGGGTAGGATGCCTTTGGCATCAAGATAGGGTGAGTGCCGTGGTGGCGCCGACCTCATTGCAAAAGCCGTAATCGGCAGAACCACCAATCATGGCAACGGCTTCTCGATGCTTGCCCAAGATACGATGGTGGAAGACGGTACGGGGGAATAGAGAAAGACAAGACTGGGCCCGGGGTAATAAGGAGCGTGACGTACCTTGCGGAGACGGCACTGATCGCACTATGAGCGGGAAAATGAGCAGGTTAGCAAAAGATATCCGAGACAAAATCGCTCTTTTATACGCAGGATGAGGGAAATAACAGCAAGCCTGTGACAATGGGAGGCATGCGCAGACGGCAAGCAGAGCACACTATGGTTTGGCATGATGGCTTCGTTGCGGTATTTTGCACGGCCGAGGGAGGGTAGAGGGAATTTCTGAATGAAGCGACACTAGGAATGAAGTGTTGATGATGCACTCCGTGGTGTAGATGAAGACGAGGCTGGAATGGGCAAGAAGAAGCCGGGGTGTGCGCGGAAGGGCAGAGGGGGTGTACGGATAAACAGAGAGCAACAAATGAAAAGTGTATTAATAGAAATGAGGTAAGAAAAAAAATAAATACAAAGGGGGACGGGGCGGCATCTTACCGCTCGACGGCCAGAGGCATCTTCGGCAGCGGCTGCGTTGGCGGCAGCGGGGCCGACCATGAGGACTTGCGGCTGCTGAGGGGTGCTGTGCTGCATGGCGACGCGGGGATTGACGTAGAAAAAAGCCGCGATTGGCAATTGACTTAGCCTGTAATGATAAAGCAGCGACGGAAAAAGAAAAAAGGGACGATGCAACAAAGGCCCTGTTTTTAGGGTGTTGCACTAGAGGGTGCACAGAGGCGGCTTGAAAGTAGAGCGAATAATTCAGACGGAAAAGCCGGGTAAGCACGTTGACTTCATAACTGGGTTTAGCGAGATGGCGTGAAGCCGCAGGCTAATTGAAGACAAGAGAAGAAAAAGAGAGACAAATTGGGTGATTGAGTAAATGCGATTAGCCCAGCCCAGCACGCAGCATAATCGTCGGGGGTGGCGTAAGGAATCCGTCTTGGTGTGAGTAAGCGTGAGCGTGAGCGTGACACAAGATGGCGGTAGTCGGAATGCGGATATAAGAATCGGACACGACGCGGTGAGCGGCCTTCTAGAAGAACTCGTGAGGCGGAAAATCAAGGCGGACAGTTTAACAAAGACACAAAAAACGGGAAAAAACTATATTGAGCTGCAGGAGGGTAAGACGCGCCGAGTCACGGAGGCAGGTGCAAATGTCAGACGTTGGCTTGTGGCTGGTTGTGGCTGAGTCAACACGAGGTTGGCTGGGGTGTCGTTCTTGGTGGCGCTTCCAATGTCGAGTAGAAACGTGCTGTTGGTGTTGGCCGAATCGCTGATTTGGTGAATCCAAACTTTGTGCCAGTTTTCTTGCTGCAGCTCGTCGAGAGCAGAAGCAAGCGGAAGCAGAAGCTTGCAAAGAGGGTAGCAGCAGACTGGCTGGCCAATATACGGTGCAGCCGGGCACCGCGGGGGCCGCGGACGCCGAAGATCGGACCGTTATGTTTTAGGTGGCGCAGTTGGCAGCTGGCAGATGGCAAGCGCGCGCACACTTTATTTTTATTTCATGGGCATCTGTCAGGTGTAAACGGCCATCGCCGGTGAGGTGAAGAAGAAAAAAGCATTTCAAGACGCGTATGGTGACGAATGATGACTCCAAGCAATCCAGATAGATTGAATTGCAATGTGAGTCGCAAAACCGTTTTACGACAGGGAAGTGGCTGCACCGAGTGCGAGTCAAACAGTTCACCGATATGTACGCTGCCGCGGGCTGATGGGGTACCCACTTTTTCATGATTCGCTGCCGCTCATCATATTATCACATCTAGATCATCGCATATCCTCACAACATAACATCACATACCGTAACTAATTGGCGAATCCACCCTCACCGCGTACTTAGAAATCCCCCATGTAATCCTCCAATCGCCGCCAACAGCCAGACGCAGCACCCATCAATCGCTCTTGCCCTTGAACTTTGCCTTCCCGCTCCATGCAGCATCCTGCAACATGTTGTATGGTGACGACTCCAACCCGTGTCTGCTGAGGTGTGCTGAGGTGTGCTGAGACTATTTTACGGCACAAGATAAAAGTCCATCTCAGAGCGCCACGGATCCATTCATCCCACCAATTATTCCTTCGCCTCCCCGCACCTCTCCCGCCGAGTGACGCATCGCCTTATTACTTGCTGCCATACATAGGACTCCGGGTTCTAGGGACCCGAATGTGCAGCTAATCGCCCAGGACCCACGCTGATCCTGTTCGGTTTCAAAGGATTCGGGTAGCCTTGCCGTCTCCCTTTCTCTCCTTTGTGCGCTTGCTGATTAAATAAAAACAAACAGTTGGCCCAATCGAGGCGTCTAATTAGCCTTTCATGCCATCCACAAAAGTCTCCGCCGTCGTGGTCGAAGTTCCGATCTCTACTCCGTACATCGACATCGTTCGCAGCCCAACACTTCTCCAACAGAGACGCCCATCCTCATGATGGAACAAAAGGAGCGTTCGCCTTCGCCTGATACATCTACCAGACCTACTATAGAAGCACCAACACAGACACCGAAAGACGAAAAGAAAGATGATGGCGATGGGTCGTTCAAATATTACTTGGTGAGCATCGCTTGTTTCCTTTGCGCAAACACGGCAGCTCGCTGACCTCGACAAGCGCGTCTTCAAGTACAATGACTCCAAGGGATGGGTCATCAACTCCTTTGCCTTCCTCTGCATGATCGCCTCGGGCACCACTCTCCCATTGATGGATGTCGTTTTCGGCTCCTATGTCAATGCCTTCAACCACTTTGTCGCCGGCACCTTGTCGCCCGCCGGCTACCGCAAGGAGGTGGCGCACTATGCGTACGTCGTCTACGCCAGCAACTAAGCATCACTGTCGCTAATTGTCATAGCCTTTTTTTCATATATCTCTTTATCGCCAAATTCATCTTGACTTATATATGGACAGTATGCAGACCTCAATCCGTGAATAATATCCCCGCTGACATTCCAGGTCGCCGTCTCCTTCACCTCCATTCGCGTCGTCAAAAAGATGCGCGTCGACTTTGTCCGCCAGACTCTCCGCCAGGAGATTCCCTTCTTCGACGCTCCCTCCAGCTCCATCTCCAGCCAAATATTTACCAACGGCAACCTTATCACCAATGGCATCGCTGAGAAGCTCGGCATCACCATCCAGGCCATATCCACCTTTGTCGCCGCCTTTGTCGTCGCTTTCGTCGTTCAGTGGAAGCTGACCTTGATCGTCATTTCCATTGTTCCCGTCAATATTATCGTTACCGTTGTATGTGTCACCTTTGACATGATATGCGAGTACAAAATGTTTGAAATCTACAGCAAGTCGGGCACCATTGCCGAAGAGGCCTTTGCCACCATTCGCACCGCCCACGCCTTTTGGGCCTTTCCTAAACTGTCCCGCCGCTTCACCAACATCCTCGAAGAGGCCCGCCTTGCTGGCAAAAACAAGTGTTTGATTTATGCTATTCTCTTTTCTTTTGAATTCTTTTGCATTTTCGCCGGCTACGGCCTGGCCTTTTGGCAGGGCATGCGCATGTATGCCAGCGGCGAGATTGCCCAGCCTGGTACAGTTGTAACGTGAGCAACTCCCTATCTCTCCATCGCCTTTCCCTTGTGTCCCCGACCGCAAATATCTTGTATTGCTCTGCCCTCTTTTTCTTATCGAAAGGCTAATTTTTAGTGTCATTTTTGCTGTTCTTGTCGCCGCTCAGGCTCTCACGCAGATTGCCCCCCAAACTGTGGCCATCTCCAAAGCAGCCGCCGCTGCCCACGACATGTTTGCCGTCATCGATCGCAAGTCAGCCGTAGACTCGCTTTCCACGGCAGGCAAGACTATTCCTAACTTTCAGGGCAATATCAAAGTCTCCAACATTGACTTTTCCTACCCTTCTCGCCCTGACGTGCCCATCCTCCAAAACTTTAGCATTGAGATTCCCGCAAACAAGACGACCGCCTTTGTCGGCGCCAGCGGCTCCGGGAAGAGTACCCTGTTTGGTCTGCTGGAGCGCTGGTACTCGAGCTCCGCGGGTGAAATCACGCTTGACGGCCACGACCTGACAGACCTCAATCTACAATGGCTGCGCACCAGCATGCGTCTCGTACAGCAGGAGCCCACCCTCTTCACCGGCAGCATCTACCAAAATGTCGTCGATGGTCTCTCTGGCACCGCCATGGTGGACCTACCAGACGACGAAAAGCGGCGTCTGGTACAGGAAGCATGCGAATCCTCTTATGCTCACGACTTCATCTCCGAGCTGCCCAACGGCTATGACACCATGATCGGCGAGCGTGGTGCATCTTTGTCTGGCGGTCAGAAGCAGAGAATTGTCATTGCGCGCAGCATTATTTCGAACCCTAAAATCCTTCTCCTCGACGAAGCTACCAGTGCTTTGGATCCTAATGCCGAGAAGATTGTTCAGACGGCTTTGAACAATGTCGCCAAGGGACGAACAATGATTGCCATTGCCCATCGCCTCTCCACCATACGCACCGCCGACAAAATCATCGTCATGTCCAAGGGCCAGGTTCTCGAGACTGGCACCCACTCTGAGCTCATCAAAATGAATGGCAAGTACGCAGCGCTGGTCCGTGCTCAAGATCTTGGTGACGGCGATGCCTCGGCCGACGACGACGACGCTGGAGAGGTCAAGCCGGGTGAGATACTTGAACTTTCGGCCTCACGTGCATCAGCTGGTGTGCAGAGCGTCCAAATTGAGGACGAACAGGAGCAAGTCTACAGCTTGCTCACGGGACTCTGGATCATCATCCGGGAGCAGCCCGGCCTGTGGTGGTACTTGTTTTTTGTCGCGCTCTGTGGCATAGCCGGTGGCGGCACGTATCCCGTCATCGCTTTTCTGTTTGCACAGACCATGGATGCCTTCAACACCACTAACGTCTCCGAGGCCAACTTTTATGCCCTCATGTTCTTCGTTGTCGCTCTCGCTAATCTCGTCGCATATGGCGTTTCAGGATGGCTCATCAATCTTATTGGAGAGCAAATCATGAAGTTCTATCGCGCTGAGATCTTCGACAACACCCTTCGTCAAGACATGACTTTTTTCGACAAGCCCGAGAATAACACTGGTGCTCTTGTATCCCGCGTGGCATCCGAGCCGACCAGTTTGCAAGAGCTGTTGTCCATCAATTGTGTCCTCATCCTCATTACCCTTGTTAATGTACTCTCCAGCGTCATTCTAGCCCTGTGCTACGGGTGGAAGCTTAGTCTAGTGCTTGCTTTGGGAGGACTTCCCGTATTGATCGCGTCGGGCTATATTCGCATCCGTCTCGAGTTCAAATTCGAGTCTGACACGGCGGACCGCTTCTCCAGCAGCAGCGGACTCGCCTCCGAAGCCGTCATGGGTATTCGCACTGTGTCCTCGCTCGCCCTCGAGCAGGCCATCATCACACGCTACCACGACTCGCTGCAGCACATTGCCGCTGATGCCATTTCCGGTTTGGGCTGGAAAATGTTTTTCTACGCGCTCAGTCAGTCTGTATCTCTCCTCGTCATGTGTCTCGGCTTTTGGTACGGTGGCCAGCTCGTCTCCACCGGCGAGTACACCGCGGCGCAATTCTACGTCATCTTCATCGCCATCATCTTCTCCGGCGAGGCGGCCGCGGTCTTTTTCCAGTACACCACAAGTATCACCAAGGCCGGCACCGCCATCAACTACATTCTACGCCTCCGCCGCACACGCGCCCTCTACGACAGCGACATTGAATCGGACTCGAGCGATGCAGAAAAGTTGAGCGAGCCCCTCAAGGGGAAGGATGTTGCCTGCGAAGACATCCACTTTGCTTATCCTCTGCGCCCCAGCCTCAAGGTCCTCCGCGGTATCGACATTGGCATTCAGCCGGGCAGCATGGTGGCTTTTGTCGGCGCCTCGGGCTGCGGCAAGTCGACTATGATTGCGCTCCTTCAGCGCTTCTACGACCCGACCTCTGGTATGCTGCGCGTGGATGGCCTCGACGCCCGGCAGTACGACCGCGCGCGCTACCGCCGCGACATTGCGCTCGTGCAGCAGGAGCCCGTGCTCTACCAAGGGTCCATCCGCGATAATATCTCTCTCGGCGTCGAGTACGGCGAGCCGTCGGAGGATGAGGTTATCTCGGCGTGCCAGCAGGCCAACGTCTGGGACTTTGTCGCCTCGCTGCCCGACGGCCTCGGCACCACGTGCGGTAGCCAGGGCCTGTCGCTTTCGGGCGGCCAGCGCCAGCGCATCGCCATTGCGCGCGCGCTCATCCGCAAGCCGCGGCTGCTTCTCCTAGATGAGGCCACCTCGGCGCTCGATACCGAGTCTGAAAAAGTTGTGAAGGAGGCGCTGGATCGGGCTGCGGCGGGTCGCACGACGATTGCGGTCGCGCATCGGCTCAGCACGATTCGCGACGCAGATACGATTGTGGTGTTTGGCAAGGGGCGGATAGTCGAGCGTGGGACGCATGAGGAGCTGATTGCGCGAAAAGGCGTGTATTATGAAATGGTTCTTGGACAGTCGCTCGATCGCGAGGCGTAGGCTCATCTCTATTATAATTATATTCATCTCAACTCTGTGCACAATTGTATATAGCACGCACTTTTGATGATGTATTTGCATTTGCACATGATGATAAAAGTTTATCTCGGAATTTGATTGATATTTGCGCACATGATCAACTGGAGCATCCGAGCTGGGTGCCTCATTCATCTCGATTCCCTATCATCGTCATGATAACGCGGCGGTGTAATGCTCACCATCAAAGCAGCCAGGATCTTGCCTTGAAATTTCATCCCCATGTATCACTTCTTCCGTCGTCCATCCACGCCAATGTTCTTTCTTCTCACTCTTTCCTCGTAATGCTCCCACCTTTCTCCAGCTTTTTGCTCTTCAGATCAAGAGCCCAACCTCCCCCCCCCCCCCCCCCGAGCTCAAGCCGACTCACTACTTCATTCTCGAGGAAATTAGCAGGCGCAGTATGCGCCGCCACCGTCCTTATCCTTGCAGCAGAAGCGATTGCCGCAGACCTGGCGCACCGCCCACACGTGCTGGTCGTTGCAGACGGCGACGTACGCGCGCTGGTTGCTAGCGCCGCCGTCGGCGCAGATTTCCTGCCCGTAGTTGTTGCCGCAGGGCGTGTTGATCATCACGGCGGCGACGGAGGTGGCGAGGGAGAGGAGCGTGAGGAACTGCATATTGGGAATTTTTGAGGATGCGTGATTTTCTTTTTTTTTTAATGATGGGGGGGAAAGAATGGCAGGTTTTCTTTTGTACAATGGTCGATCGTCAAGAATTGGTAGATTGTTGCTGTCTTATATAGCCGGAATGCTGCAGTGGTTGCATGTCTTGCGGGTTTGTGTCAGCTTTCGGCGGCTTCCTATACGGCTTGACAGTGTAGCAATGTGACGGAAGCCTCATCGGTTGCATCGATTTTAGGCAACGGCCGAATAACAGAAATACGGCGGGTCATTGATGCAGGCTTGGATAATGGGTGCTGTTGTATTACAAGACATTGTCCAAAGCATTGGGTAATGCCCAGACGTTGCATAATATTGCGGGAAGAGTGCAACGAGGCTTGGGCCTCGACGCAGGCATGGCCGACCTGCATTGAATCCCTCGAGAAATGTACATTCGTCTATACTTTATGCAGGAGAAAAAGTATCATCAAAGTTTCGGAGATGTGAAGCTGGCACAGTCTCTTTCATGACAAGCCTCCTCTTGCGTGGTCCCCCCACGGTTCATTCATGGCAGATGTATTAGCAACAATGCCGTTACGACACAGCAGCAGCGGGCCACTTCGATACACAATATGACACATAACAGCATGTTCACTGGTCTTGAAAGAGGATTCAAATTTTATGGCTTGCAGAAAAACCAGTAGTCTCTACCTATCACAATTCAGAACGCAAAAAGACCAAACGGCACTCATGTACATCGGCGCGGGGTACTCGGTGCTCATCAGCGCGAGTTATCCGAATACAGCGGGACGTCGGTGTCCAGCCATACAGCCGACTTCTATTATTCTCGTCCTGCACTAATGAGCCCTCGCTCATATCTAGCTTAATTCTTAATTCAGCGTAAGTTCATGAATTTTAGAAACCGCCCGGTGGCGGAGAAAATTACGCCGAGCCTTACCCTATACCCATGCAACCACCATCAAACTTTATCGCAGTGCTCGAGCATTTCTTTTCAGTAGAACTATTACAAGAGAAATCTAGAGGGAAAATGAAAATCTATAGTTAGAGCCTTATTAGCCTTAAGAGTTTGATTCTATATCGTAGCCATCGTTATGTGTTGGAAAATACTAGAGATATGGTGAGAGCATAGCAATTGCGAAGACCACATTACCAATGAGGATTATATTGTTACGCATTGCGAACGAAGAACTCGGTTAAGATAGACGATGTACCACAATAAGTTATTGAGTAGTGACTGGATTCTTCTTTGTCCCCCAAGGGTTTCATGGAGACGAGCCGCGGCTGCCAGGAGGCTGCGCGATAGGCCTTCATGTGCATGGTTCATTTCACGTTACCAACTACTCTCTTCAACCTTTTCTTATTCTTATTCTTCTTTTACCAGATTTTGGCTCTGTACGTTAAGTAATCTCAGTCACACCTTCGCTTTCGCTATCGACCGCGTGCGTGACAAGCATACATCAGGTGTGCGGGGAACAGAGAATCCTTCGGAGATGCTAGGGCCGAACGCGAAAGGTCATCGGATGTTCGGCTTCCCCCCCGCACGGGCTGACTAGCCTGATGTCTATGGTATTAGCTTCGAATAAAGACTTACATTGATGTGTCGACCAAGGTCGTGTTGGTTCGGCAGGGCTGAGAAACGCCCGCCATGCCGGCTAAGGCGGCATGGAACGCCTACAGGACGCACGCCAAATGGCGCACAAAAGTACTGCCGCAATGCTGCAAGTGTTCTTTCGCAATCTTTTTGGTAGGCTGCGCCACTGTTTCCCATGATTCGTCACAGCCCCTTTACTCTCCCCCGGACTCTAAAAACTGGTCTTTGTTGTTCCCTGAGGCCTTCTGTTTCTATATAAGCCGGCCTCCCATGTGTCTCTGTACAAGCCTGTCAATCGGCCTGCCTGAGAACACCACGAAAATGTCATCTGCACCCAAATCCATCCTGCATCTTCACTTCAGCCCTCGGCGTCCTCTTCCCGAAATTCTTCTCACTGTCATCCCAGACAGTCGCGTCCAGGATGGCACAGTCAAGGTGTCTGGCCCTGAGAAGTCTCGTTACAAGTACAGCAAATGCACAATATGCCAACATGGGACTGGATGGTGTCAGTTGATATATTCATGAAAACATCAAAGGAACGCCTCACGGACAGATGATGGTCAAACAAACACAGAATCGCCAGCTAGGTGGACCGCGACTATTTAAACAGCCACGGCAGTATCACGGTTGCGGAATTTCAGGCAGACCAGAATCTTCTTGAGACTAAGCCCAAGATCTGAATAATTTTTTGACAACGCCGACAGCACGAAATCGGTGTTCCGTACGTGAATATGGAGCCGAGAGACGATGTTGTTTACAAGCAGGAGCAAACAGTGTATGTTGGGCCAGTCTCACGACCATACTGCATCTTTCAGTCCTGCAGGAACTCAAGCAAGTGCGAAGGACGGGCTGATATCGACCATTGGGAGTTTACGTTGAGGCTACTGGTCTGCTGTTAGTGTACTTATTTAGTTCAATAGCCATGTATTTGTTGCATGATGCAGCCAAGAATTGCCTTTTCCCCTGGCCGTTCATCAAAGCAGGCGGCCGTGTCGTCGAACAAGGCCGCCAACGCGAATCACCACCACCGTCACCGGCTGCGTCCTGCCGTCAGCTCCGATGGCGGACCACAACCACGACGCCAGCACCCCGTGCTCGAGCACCACCAGCACCAGCAGCCTGGACAGGAAGACGCAGCCCGTCGTCGTCCAACTAACGCGCGTCGCTGCCGCCGCTGCCGCCGCTGCCGCCTCTTCAACCCAAGCAGCCGGCGACTTGTCCTCCTACCTCGCCCTGAAGTCGTGCACCCACGAAACATGAATTGATCGCCAGACCATCTAGCATTCAACAGTCCCAAACAGCCTTTTCGAGTCGTCGAGCCCTTAGTTACGCGGAGCTCGTCTCACATTTGAGAAGGGCTAACTCATCGAGCCCCACTGTTGTCGTGATGGCCTGTTGGTTTCCGTAAACGAACTCAATCTTCAGAAAAAGGGAGTAAATGCCAGGCCAGGGGCCGACTCAAATCACAAGGTGAGTATGCTTGAGAAAAGTTTGATCACTTTTATATGTCAATCACATATATACCAATCTAGATGACAAGCTGA